CGGCGGCGGCGCGGCAGGCAGCGGCTGGCATACGGGCTGTGGGGGCTGGCTGGCTGGCTGGCTGGCTGGCGGCGGGCTGGCGGGCTGGCGTGCGTGCGGCCGGGCGATGGGCATGGCGGCGGCAGCAGCGGCGGCGGCGGCAGCGGCGGCGGCGGCAGCGGCGGCGGCGGCGGCAGGCAGTGTAGGCGGCGCAGGCGTGGGCTGGGCAGGGGCAGCAGCAACAGGGGCGGCAACGACTTCAGCTGAGGGCGGCGGGAGGGGAGCCGCTCGCCACCAGCATGTGCTGCACCTGTAGTCAGCGGTGATCTGCCAGCTGGCACTGAGGTGCACCAGCGACCCACCTTCTTGGGCATGTCGGGATAGAACTGGTGATCCCAGGGGCTGAACAGGCTGTTGGTGACGTACAGGCGCCGGCCATCCAGGCTGAGCTGGATCATCTGGGGGCCTCCCTGAAGCTCCACGCCCTTCACAGTGGGCACCTCGGGCTGCTCGGGGCTGTCCTCAGGCAGCCCCTCAATAACCTGCGCAGCGGAGGGTGGACAGCAACAAGCGGCAGCGCACCATCAAGCGGTTTGGATTGCCCCTGGGTCATGCCTGTTCACCTGCGCTGCATGCAGCTGTGCAGCTGTTCGTGACAGCAGCTGTCGCCAGCTGGCTCGCGCACCTTGACGGGGCCGCCCTTGCGCAGGGAGCCTCCCAGCCAGATGCGGTTGCTGAACTTGGGGTTGGCGGGGTCGGAGACGTCGTACTGCACCAGGTCGCCGCGCAGCCAGTTGGAGAAGTACAGGTACCTGCGACAATACAGAGGCAGTACAGCTGTGTTGTAAGATCACCCGCCAGGACAGGTTGTGAGCTACCCACTGAGGAGGCCACGCTGTCTGCTCCCTTGCCTGGCTGCCGGCCCCGATTCAAGCAACGATTTGGCCCAGTCAAAGGCCCAACCAAGCTGTAGAGCACGGCTCACTTGTCGTCCATAGAGACCAGGATGTCGGTGATAAGGGGCGGCATCTCGGGCAGCACCCAGCCCTCCACCTTGACCCAGGGCTGCTTGATGGCCACGTTGGTCTTCCAGCTCACGGATCCATTCACCTCCTGCAGGCAGCGAGGGAGCAAACGGGTATGGCGTGGCACAACCGTATGATCTGTGCCACACAGAGCTCGCTTCAACAAAGGAATGGCAGGAAACACCTTGCATCACAGGCTTCCTGGCCCCATGCATGCTGCCACGCGAGCCCAGACCAACCTTGGAGATGTGAATGACGTTGGAGGAAAGCGCGGCGCCCACATAGCCATGCGCCTTCCAGGGGTCGTGCAGGAAGCGGGTCTCCAGCGGGATGAGGCCATCGCTGCCCAGGCTGATTTTGCGAACCAGCAGAGCAGAAGGGCAAAGCAGGCGCAGCACGTGGACGGAGGGACCAGGCAGCCATTTGGCGGCAACCGCGGTGCGCATGCAAGGGCTGCTGGGCTGTCTGCCGCTGCGTGGCTGAAGCGCAGCTCACCTTCTGGACGAGCTCCCGCTCCTTCCAGCTCCAGATGTACAGCTGGTCGCCATACCTGTGGGCCGATGCAGGTGTTGGGCGGGTGTGCAGCAGGGCTCAGCAGCAGGCGCTCTTGACTCTGCCACCACACCGCCCAGCAACAAAGGAGTTGGACTCGGTCCCAACTGCAACCAAAAAAGCGCCAGGAGCGCCACTCACTTGGTGGCCACCTCTGCCGGGTTGAAGCCCTTGAAGAACTCGGAGGGGGCGCCCCAGGAGGTGGACACCAAGAGATCGTGGTGGGGCTGGTACCTGTGGCAGCAGAGAGAGGGCAGGTGAAGGGCAGGGGCGGGGGTGGTAGCCAGGTGGCGTGCCTGGCGAGCTTCAGGTGCAGCGCTGGCAGCCCTGCTCGCTGGCCCTGCTTTCTTCCTCACCAGAAGTCGTAACCAAACTCAGTCGTGTCCTGGGACCACGTCTTGTCCTTGACCTGCAGGGAAAGGGTGGGGGAGCACAGCAGGGGGCGGGTGCTCAGTGCTGGCGGGTGTGGGCTGGGCAACGGCTGGCGGGCAGCAGATGGAGCGGCAGCAGAGTTTGCTAGGCTGCTGCTGCCACACAGAATCAGCTGCAGCCCTCGCCTTGAACGTCTCTCCGTCCAGCAGCACAAACCCGCCCTTGTTGTTGCCCTCGGGGTCGCCCATGCCGCTGATCATCACGTTGCCGTCAGCCAGGCAGTGGGAGGAGTGCAGGTAGGAGAGGCCAGTCTTCTGCGGCAGGCGCAGGCAGGCAGGTTCAGTGTGATTGTAGCAGAGGGATGGGCGAGCAGCGCCCCAGCCAGCAAGTGGCAGCCAGCCGCCCAGCCCACCTTGATCTCCTCCGGTTCCACAATCTTGGCCAGGGAGGGCTTGCGCGGGTCGGTGGCCACATCAAAGGCTGCAGGGCGGAGAGAATAGCAAGCAGGCATGCGTCAATGCTTACGCGGAGCGGCAGCGGGTAGGTGCAGCCGAAAGGGACTTCCGCTCACCGTACACCCTGCTGCTGCCCAGCGCCGGGGCCACCAGATACTTGCGCGCCTTGCCGCTCTTGTCACCGCAGCTGGAGCAGGCATTCCAGCCTGCACAGGAGGGAGCCGTGGAGATGCGAGCTTAGGTTTTTTGTGCAAGGGAAGCTGGCACGGCTGGGAATGGGACTGGCTCCTGCACAGCATGCAGCTGCGCGCCGTGGTTGCTCACCGGAGTGGTGCAGCTCATCGCCCGTGTAAGGCACTGGGGTGCGGGCGATCACCTGCACCACAGGCAATGGGACCCGGGATGGCAGCAGTGGGCTGGGTGGCAGCAAGCAAAGAGCAGGTCTATGCAGAATGCGCGCAGGATCCAGGGCATGCCAGCAGGCAAGCTATTTGTAATACAGACTGCCGTTCAGTTGCGGCGGTACTGCTCGGCAGCGCCTCGCCGCCGCCAAACTTTTGCACCTGGCTGAATGTCGGGCTCGCTTCGTCGGCATCGATTGTGGCCAGGAAGTCTGCACAGAAGGAGGACACGTGAGGTTCCTAACGCAGAGGATCCCTTGGGTGATCCCGACCCCCAGCGGCTCTGCAGGCTCCCCGCGGCGCTCCAAGGGCGCCTCACCTGGCCTGGCTCCCTTGGGGATGGTGCACACAACATACAGGATCTTCTCCCGCTCTGCGCTCCGAAAGGCCTCGCCAGGGGTGGCCCAACCCAGTGCACTGTGCTCGCAGCACGCCATTCTGATGATCAACAACGTCACAAATTATGTCCAGGGCCCCGGAGAGGCAAACTCGCATTCTGTGATGCCTCCATGCGGGACAGATTGTCCCGCCAGGAACTTGCGGCGAAGTTGCTGCAATTTTGGCCTGTGGACCAGAATCGCAGCACGAGGATCAGCTTGCTTAACGTCAGAGCTCTGGCAATTGCACGCCGATACAACGCGCAACTAGGGTTGTTTCCAGAGCCCGACCGCTCCGCCTGGACCGCCCGGGGAATCAAACACCTCAGCAGAAAGTGCCTGGGAGCGGCTGGGATGCAAGCCGGCGGTGCCACCCGTGCTGCGTCGCCGCCGCCGCCGCCGCCGCTGCAGCGCTGGACATTTCGCTGGCGGCGACCATTGCAAAAGTGCGAGACATTGTAACTATAAAAAATAAACAGACACCTCGCACACAAGGCAGAAGGGGCTGTGGCCTCTCATGAGATCAATTGTGTTGCCTGCTGTGCATGCGCACCCTCTCGATGGCGGCCGCAAGCATGCATGCTCGGCTTTCTGGCTCAGAAAGGCCGGGCCTACGATGCCGCCACCTTCTCCGCATATGCTGGGTCTGTCTCCACGACCCAGATGTCAGAGCTGCAGTCGCCGCCTGCAGTGGGCAACCTCAGCAATGGTGTGAGAACTTCCGCTGTGCCTGCATGCCCCCGCCGGCATACCACGCCGTGCCCCACCTGGGTAGCGCGTCTCGTGCGCCAGAGCCGGGCCCTCCGGCTCTGCGCCAAAGTCCACCAAGAAGTCGGGGTTCAGGCTGAGGGCGCCGCCATTCTCCAGGTCCACATCCACGCGGATCAGCTGGGAGCCCTGCATCGACACACGGCTTGTAGAGGTGGCTGGGCCAGGGAGGGCGTGCCGGGGGAGAAGTGCGCATGTGCTGCAGCTGTAGCCAGCGGTGATCTGCCAGCTGGCACTGAGGTGCACCAGCGACCCACCTTCTTGGGCATGTCGGGATAGAACTGGTGATCCCAGGGGCTGAACAGGCTGTTGGTGACGTACAGGCGCCGGCCATCCAGGCTGAGCTGGATCATCTGGGGGCCTCCCTGAAGCTCCACGCCCTTCACAGTGGGCACCTCGGGCTGCTCGGGGCTGTCCTCAGGCAGCCCCTCAATAACCTGCGCAGCGGAGGGTGGACAGCAACAAGCGGCAGCGCACCATCAAGCGGTTTGGATTGCCCCTGGGTCATGCCTGTTCACCTGCGCTGCATGCAGCTGTGCAGCTGTTCGTGACAGCAGCTGTCGCCAGCTGGCTCGCGCACCTTGACGGGGCCGCCCTTGCGCAGGGAGCCTCCCAGCCAGATGCGGTTGCTGAACTTGGGGTTGGCGGGGTCGGAGATGTCGTACTGCACCAGGTCGCCACGCAGCCAGTTGGAGAAGTACAGGTACCTGCGGTGGTGATTATGTGGGCAGGGACATGGGCAGGCATCAGCATGGCAGTGCATGCATCTGGTGTCATTCGTACATGAAGACGACAGCCTCAGAGCTGCTGCCAGCTGGCTGGTGCAGTTCAGTTTTTTGTAGCTTGCAGCACAACCACGCAGCCAACTCACTTGTCATCAAGGCTGATGAGGATGTCGGTGATAAGGGGCGGCATCTCGGGCAGCACCCAGCCCTCCACCTTGACCCAGGGCTGCTTGATGGCCACGTTGGTCTTCCAGCTCACGGATCCATTCACCTCCTGCAGGCAGCGAGGGAGCAAACGGGTATGGCGTGGCACAACCGTATGATCTGTGCCACACAGAGCTCGCTTCAACAAAGGAATGGCAGGAAACACCTTGCATCACATGCTTCCTGTCCCCATGCATGCTGCCACGCCACAGGACGCCCAGACCAACCTTGGAAATGTGAATGACGTTGGAGGAAAGCGCGGCGCCCACGTAGCCATGCGCCTTCCAGGGGTCGTGCAGGAAGCGGGTCTCCAGCGGGATGAGGCCATCGCTGCCCAGGCTGATCTGCGGAGCAGCAGAGCAGAAGGGCAAAGCAGGCGCAGCACGTGGACGGAGGGACCAGGCAGCCATTTGGCGGCAACCGCGGTGCGCATGCAAGGGCTGCTGGGCTGTCTGCCGCTGCGTGGCTGAAGCGCAGCTCACCTTCTGGACGAGCTCCCGCTCCTTCCAGCTCCAGATGTACAGCTGGTCGCCATACCTGTGGGCCGATGCAGGTGTTGGGCGGGTGTGCAGCAGGGCTCAGCAGCAGGCGCTCTTGACCCTGCCACCACACCGCCCAGCAACAAAGGAGTTGGACTCGGTCCCAACTGCAACCAAAAAAGCGCCAGGAGCGCCACTCACTTGGTGGCCACCTCTGCCGGGTTGAAGCCCTTGAAGAACTCGGAGGGGGCGCCCCAGGAGGTGGACACCAAGAGATCGTGGTGGGGCTGGTACCTGTGGCAGCAGAGAGAGGGCAGGTGAAGGGCAGGGGCGGGGGTGGTAGCCAGGTGGCGTGCCTGGCGAGCTTCAGGTGCAGCGCTGGCAGCCCTGCTCGCTGGCCCTGCTTTCTTCCTCACCAGAAGTCGTAACCAAACTCAGTCGTGTCCTGGGACCACGTCTTGTCCTTGACCTGCAGGGAAAGGGTGGGGGAGCACAGCAGGGGGCGGGTGCTCAGTGCTGGCGGGTGTGGGCTGGGCAACGGCTGGCGGGCAGCAGACGGAGCGGCAGCAGAGTTTGCTAGGCTGCTGCTGCCACACAGAATCAGCTGCAGCCCTCGCCTTGAACGTCTCTCCGTCCAGCAGCACAAACCCGCCCTTGTTGTTGCCCTCGGGGTCGCCCATGCCGCTGATCATCACGTTGCCGTCAGCCAGGCAGTGGGAGGAGTGCAGGTAGGAGAGGCCAGTCTTCTGCGGCAGGCGCAGGCAGGCAGGTTCAGTGTGATTGTAGCAGAGGGATGGGCGAGCAGCGCCCCAGCCAGCAAGTGGCAGCCAGCCGCCCAGCCCACCTTGATCTCCTCCGGCTCCACAATCTTGGCCAGAGAGGGCTTGCGCGGGTCGGTGGCCACATCAAAGGCTGCAGAGAGTTGCGACATCACAGCATCAGGTGAGCCTTCGAGGCACATGCGGCTTGTGCGGGGAGCAGGCGTGTGCCCGCCACTGTGGCAGAGGGACCTGAAAAGAATGGCCACGAGCTGCCGTGAGGCTCACCGTACACCCTGCTGCTGGCCAGCGCCGGCGTCACCAGATACTTGCGTGCCTTGCCGCTCTTGTCGCCGAAGCAGCTGGAGCAGGCGTTCCAGCCTGCGGAAAGCAAGGAGCACAAACTGGGCATGAGGATGCCGTGTCCAGCAGGGCTGAGGTGTGAGCGGGGTTCCACACATGTTCACAAACACCAGAGCAATTGCTGTCCACAGGTCGGCAGCGAATGCCCTGGTTCCCACAGGCGACATCGCTGCCTCAGCCGGTGCGGCGCTGGCGGCGCGACCATGCCTTCCGCAGCTCACCGGAGTGGTGCAGCTCATCGCCTTTGTAGGGCACTGGGGTGCGCGCGATCACCTGCGCATGCGGTGAGTGTCGATGGTGAGGCCGGGGGTGCAGGCGGCTCACCTACACACAAGCGCCAGCGGGCTACCGCCCCCTGCGCCTGCTAGCACGGAGGCTGCGCAGCTGGCACCGGCTCTGCCCCAGCGGCCACAATTCGTCCTGCCTGTGAGTATGTCGCTGACTCAGGGTCTGCGTCGATCGTGGCCAGGTAGTCAGGGCCTGCAGTAGCCAATATGTTGCGTTCTGCTACTCGTACCAGTGGCTGTGGCAGGCAAGAGGGTGGGATGAACTTACGGCTGTGATCAGGGACGACTGCGATAACATACAACAGGCCTTCACGCCCATCCTCTCCGCTGTTGAACGCGTCCAATGGGGTGGCCCACCCCAAGTTGCTGCCGTTCTTCCCGCAGCACGCCATCGCGATGTAATGTTTGTGGGAGAGAGCGGATGGCAATCAGGTGCCAGCTCTATTTGCAGGAAGGTGCCAGCATCGCACCTCAGCAAGCAAAGCAGGAGCGCGCAATTTGCTCATCATTGTAGGCTTGCAACCGTTTGTTATTACAAGGCAGGGCTGAAAGCATCGCGTGCAAGTCGGCAGCGCCCCTCCAAGTGCGGCGGCGGCAGCGGCGGCGGCGACACGGGCCATCAGCCCCCTTTTGCAAACATTTGCGGCACCACCACCTCCAGCCGGTCCGACGAGGAAAACTCATTGGTGCCGGCCGGCAGCACCATGACGCCAGCCAGCTCGAACTTGTGCCCGTCCCCGCTCGTCTTCTGCCGCACCGTCACCCGCACGCGGCACTCGGCGTGCTGCGTGGCCTGCACGGGCGGGCACAGGTGGACAGGACACAGCATGGCAGGGACAGGTGACAAGAAGCCTAAGCTACGCGCTCCAAACCACGCCCAGGGGACAGGCCCCGACTTGCTCACACCCAGCCAGCAGCCACACCCATGCCCACAGCCCTGGTGGCCACTGCCTCTCCTCCACCCCTTGCCCACTCACCGCAAACTCTGCCGTCATCAGCATTGACGCCTTCTCCTCCCACAAGGCATCGATGTCGCTCTCCGCACACTCGCACCCCGACACGCACGCCACCCGAGCGATGCCCATGGCCGGGTCATAGCTGGCCAGGTAGGAGAGCACCACGCGGTTGCTGCTGCCGTCGGGTGACCCGGCCACCCGGCTGTCGATGCTGAACTCCAGGGTGGAGTCGGGCTCAGTGGCCACGAAGCCCCACTTCTGTGCAAGGCAGAGCAGGCAGTGGGTCGCAGTGACTGCACAGCGAGGGAGTCAACGACAAGGGAGCAGGCCCCGCCCCACCAACGGCTGGTGCTCCCGACCCAGCAGAAGCTGCTGCCTACCTGCGCCTTGCGCTCCGTCGCCTCTGGCCGCTCGTTGATCCAGTCAAAGCCGTCGGTGCTGTCCACCAGGGTGTGGAAGTCATCCTGCCAGGCATGAAGGACAGCGCAGTGCGGCCGGCTTTGGACCACAGCAAGCCGCCGCAAACAACGAGCAGTGCGCCTCAGCTCCGCTAGACGGTAATGCTCCTGTTCCCTTTGATGGTACCCAGAAAGGGGCGGCGCAGCCTCACCCCAAGCCAGCAGGACGACGTGTTGGTTTCATAGTTGCCTGGCGTCAGCGGCGGCACCAGCAGCTCCCTTCGTGTTGCCTCCTGCCCTGCCAGTGGCTGAATGTTGAGGCTGATCACAGTGGCCTGCACCATGCGGATAAGCAGCTCTGCCAGCATCCTGCAGCAGCAGCAGCAGTGGCAATTTGGTCACCGAGGGCTACACGCTGATTGCACCAGACCTGCTTCTCCCATTCAGCAACAGCAGCTTGGATCCGCAAGCAGGCGACCCACCTGTGCCCTGTGGGGCCCCACGGATGCACCTGCAAAGATGGGACACAGAAAGCAGCGCCATGCAGGGGAAGATCTGGCAGGAATCAGCAGCAGTGCAGACCACCTCATGTCGGGAGCAAACCAGAGCAGCACGGCAGTAAGCCCACAAAAGCTGGCTGACTGGCAGGCAAGCCCGCCGCCCAGGTGCTTCTGGCACCTGGTCATAATACAACGGGTAGTTATCCAGCGGCAACGGGTCCTTTCCGTACAGTTTGACGCTGGTGGTGACCTGCAGCCACAGCAGGATGTGCATTCCCCAGCTGCTCCTGCCGAGGCAGACAGGCCGGCAGGCCCACACCGGGCTGCATCGGCATGCAGCTGCATCGGCATGCAGCAGCGCAGCCCGGCATGCATGATACAGCTGCCTGATTGAAGCAGGCCCAGCAGCAAAGCACACTCACGTCAAAGCCATTCTTGCCGTCCAGCATGTGCCGCCAGGCTGCCGCACGCAGGGAGGCCATGGGCAGACCATAGAACTGAGCCATGACCTGCACCTGGTTCTCAACCGACTGCAGGCAGGCAGGCAAGCAGCAGCACAGTGAGCAATGCGGCTCTCAGCAACAGATATGGCAGCCCAGCCGAACCCAGCGCCGATTAACTTGCGCCGAGCATGTCTGCCGCACCGCCTGCAGCAGCTGTTGCAGCCAACACGCTCCCTCCCTGCCCAGCCCAACCCACCCGCTGGTACACCTCCCGGTTGGGGAAGCGGAAACCGTACACATTGAGCATGAGCACCGCGGGCTGGTGCTTCTGCTTGAGCATGCGGCGCACGAGGCGCTCAATGCCCAACTGCACAGGCGTGTTGACGTAGTGGTCTTTGCAGTAGCACCTCTCAGGCTCCGTGCCATCAAAGGTGGTCTGCTCCAGCACGTAGATGTCGGCAGTAGGGATGAGCGTGTCAAAGCACTGCGCAAACACGCCGCTGAAGGTGCCCGCCATGCCAGCGTTGACGACCGTGGCGTTGGCGCGCGGGAAAGCGGCGCGCAACCAATCCCCAAACTGCTCCACATATCCCGGCCAGTTGGTGCGCGTATTGTCCCAGTCCTTGCCGCCCGCGCCAGAGGTGATGGAGGCACCCACCGTGACCACCCGCACCTGCTCTCCTGCAGCATCAGCAGCGGTGGCCGGCCACAGTACATGCTTTCTGGCTCGTCGCAGGAGCATGGCTGCCATGTGCGATGGCAAAACACACCGCACGAGTGCTGCCACATGCTGCTGAAGTCCTCAGCGGCCGCAGCGGCAGCAGCACAAACCTGCCATGAGGCGGGCCAAGTGGCGCCGCAGGCGCCGCGAGTCACCGAAGCTGATGGCTCGCTCCATTTCGTGTCCGGCTAGCAGAAACTCGCGCCGCAGCAGCACATCCCTGTCCAACATGAGCCCTGTGACAGGCTCCGGCCGCGCATAGCTGTCCTTGTCGCTGGGCGGCACCTGCGGCAGCCGAGCGGCGGCGGCGGCGGGTGGGCGGGTGGCTGCGGCAGGGCGCGCAGCGAGGCGCCAGCGAGATGGCAATGCATGCGGAAACAGAGAAAGGGGGAAGAATGGCGGCAACAGACGGCAACAGGCAGGTCTGTTGGGCGCATCGCGGTGGCGCAAGCGCAGATGCGCACCGCTTCGTGGCTCGCGACTAACAGCGCCTCCCCGCGGAGTTCGGCGATTCGCGGGTTTGGCAAGGCGCGCAGGTCCACGCGCCGGGCCGCAAGCACGAGGGCGACCAGGCACACTGCAGAAAGCAGTGCAGGCTTTAGCCAGGCCGGGCCCGGCACCGGCGGCTTGGCGGTCATCACCGATTTCAACTGCGCCAGCTGCGTTGGAGGACTTCATGTTCAGCTTCTGCACTGCTGGCACCTGCTGGCGTCTGTCCCTGGGTGGACCCCGCCCCCGCCCCCCAGGGGATGCCTGATCATCAAGATGTAAGGTTGAAACTCATGTTTGGTTGTCGGAGGCCCTGATCATGACCACCCCCGATTTTGGTACAGCCTCATGCCAGTGTGCTGCTCAGAGGCCAGAGACTTCTGGGAGAGGCAGCGTCTCTGTGTATCGCTTGCGATGGCTCTGTAGCGGCATGGCACCCCCGCAGCGCCCCAAGAGCAGCAATCGACTCGTCGCAGCAGGCCTGGTGCTGTTTGGCGCGTCTATGGCCGCATTCCCCCTGATCTACACACGCAACGGTCCCACTGTGAGTGTGAGGGGGCAGCCTGGACGACACCTATGTCCCAGAACCTCGCCTCACCCACCCACTCAGCCTCCCCTCGCCCCCTGTTCCACGCGGGGATGCGCTCTGCAAGCCCAAAGAGAAGGGAATTGGGCAGATCGGGTGGATTAACCGGTGGCAGCTCCCTGCCGCCACCCACCGCCGCCCGCGCCGCTGCCTGCACCTCTCTTTTGCCCTCCTGCCTGCAGCTGACTTACAAGGAAGGTCCCCTGGCCGGCCAGGCCGCCATCCGTGGTGCCTACATCAACACCGCCTCCAAAGACGTGGGCATAGACCACGACTACCAAAAGGCAGGCCCAATTTGCTGCTGCTGAGCTTGCCGTTGGTGATGTGGCTCCCGCATTCAACGCAATGACGCAATGAGCAGCCTTCAACCTGCAACCGACAGTCGGTTGTGTGCATTGCTGCTGCAGTACAAGTCCGATCCCATCGTTGGCAACGCACCCATTGGTCGGGAGTCGTAGGCGCAGCAGTGCCGTGACATTCTCGGCCGCAACCCCTACCACCTCGCTGAGAGTGTTCGGGAGACGTCGAAGACGTCTGGACCTTAGGTTTGTTTTCTAGCTGATTTATACACTACCATGGGAGCACCATTGCAGACCCGCCCAGCCGCAGCACAGTTGCCGGCAGCGGCCGGGCAGCAGCGTCGCCGGCTGAGGGGTGCGGCCAGCGTCCTTCGGTCAGTCTGCCAGACAAATGGTGGTGATGCAGCAGAGCCCTGCAACAGGGAGGCGCAGCTTGAGCAGCAGCAGGCCGGCCGGCCAGCGGAGCAGCAGCCGCAGCAGCCGCAGCAGCCGCAGGCATTGTCGATGCCTGTACAGACGCTGCGCCAGCTGGCCAAGACTGCGACGGGGGTTGCCACGGCAGCAATGCTGGCGCTGGGCTCTGTGGCGCCGCTGCCGGCAGCAGCTGTCCTGAACAGCCCCATTGCCTCGGTGCCACGCTCAGCTGACGTGGCGCTGCGTCGCTCCATCCCAGCCTTCAACCAGGATGTGCGAACGGTGCAGTCGCGGCTGGAGGTGGGCTGGCTGCTGAGCTGGCGCCTGCTGATGCTGAGGTGGCCTTTGCAGTTGGACAGAGGCTGCTTTGCCCCGAACCGACAGTCTTGCTGAGCCACTCTTGAGTGTCTCATTTGGTTCCCCTCACAGGCCATCGGCTTCAAGCTGCGCATCCCGCAGCGCAAGCCCTGGCAGTCGATGGCCGAGGACACGGCGACCGCGGCGGCGCTGGCCGCCGACCAGCAGCTGATGATGGCTGGGGTGCTTCCGGGAGATGAGGCGCAGGCAGAGGAGCTGTTGGCAGAGCTGCGCGTGCAGCTGGACAGGTGCGCTGCGGCCAGGAATGGGCATGCAGGCTGGCGGGGGCGCGGCGTGCGTGGTGCAACGGCCCCGTGCCATTGTTGGCGGTCGCGCTTATGTGGCGTGCACCAACCATGGCTTGATGGCTTTGTGTGTTGAGGTGTGTGAGACGTGCTGTTGAGGTGTGCGGCTGGCTGGTGCAGGCTGGCGAGGTCGATCGAGGCCAAGAACCCAGATCGGACCTCTGTGCGAGTGGCCAATGCACTGGAGGAGGTGGCGGCGCTGGAGCTGCTGCAGGCGGGTGGCAGAATGGGCGGGGCTACGGCTCCAGGCCACCAGTGCAGGCGTTGGTGTGTTTGAGCAGTGGCGGCTTGCTGTCGGTGTGCGGCAGCAATTGGAGCCGCAAGCTCCCATCAACACGCATGTCGTTTGCCGCTGCACCGCTGCTCGCAGGCGCCTGGGCTGCCCTACCAGCTCCCTCGCCAGCTCACCGACTACCCTGCTCTAGCAGGTGGGGCAACCCTGCTGCTGGCTCTGGGCCCATGGCTGCTGTGCCGCTGGGATTGCGTGGCCTGTTGGCAACTGTCCCGTTCCGCGGCGGGACGCTGCGCTTGCTTGTGCATGACGTCGCTGCTTGCTGCGCTCGTGGTTGGGGGCACCACAGGGCGGGCTGTTGTGGAGCTGACTGTGGAGAAGGCCAGCGGGGAGCGCGTGTTTGTGGACCAGAACAGCGACGCTGGCCCGCAGAAGCGCGCCAAGCTGCAGCTGGTGCTGGATGGCTACTCAGGTGGGGCGCGCGGGCCCTTGCAGGGCGCTTCGCAAGCTGATGCGCCTGGGCACTGACACTGCGGGATGCGAGTCGGCCATCTGTCGAGATACCTCTACCACCCCAGCTCTGCTCAATGCCTGCCCCCTTGGCCTCTGGCTCGCTGCTTGCCAACACAACCTGCCCATGCTTCATTCTGGCATTTGATCTTTGTGTGCAGCCCCCATCACCGCCGCCAACCTGGCAGCCAACTTCTCTGCGGGTCTCTACAACGGCCTCCCGCTGTCAGTCAACGGCGTCTCCGTGCTGGCAGGCACGCCGGCGCCGGAGGCTGAGGACAGCGCGTTTGATGAGGACGCCCGCGACGCCCCCAGCGGCCTCAAAGCGCCCAGCAGCCTGGAGGTTGGCACCAGCGGGGGGGATGTTGGCGGCCGGCGCATGGCGCCGACAGCGCTGCCGCTTGAGATCCTGGCCGCCGGCGACTTTGAGCCTGTGTATCGCTCTACCTTGGACGTTCGGAGCGGCGAGCTGCCTGTGCTGCCACTCAGCATCTATGGCGCAGGCAAGTTGCTTCAGGCGGGTGTCTATGGTCTTGCGGTCACATATGCCTGGTGCTGCTTGTTTCTGCTGACCTGGCTGGTACCGCGCCACTCGCTGCGTGCAGTTGCTATGGCTCACCTTCCTGATAGCAGCGGCAGCGGCTACGTGAGCGGCACTCAGTTCTTCATTTACAAATTTGATCGCACGCAGGCAAGCTTGAACTGTAGCTGCATGTATCAGGCACCAGCTCAGCTGGCTCCCTCGTGCATCACGACCAAAAGGAAAGGCCTCATTCATGGCATCTTCATCCCATGCTGATGTGCAGGCGGGCCTGGCGGGGCTCAGTTTTGATGAGGGCGAGTTCGGTGTCTGTGGTTACGTCACCAAGGTGAGGCGACCATTCTAAAGGGCATCACCCGCTGGACCGCTGCTGCCGCCAGCCCCTGCTTCAGTTGCGGCACATGAGAGGGAGCGCCTCTCCTAGCCATCAACGCTCTGCTGGTCTGCTGCAGGGCCTGGATGCCTTGAGCAAGCTGGAGGATGGCGACCGCATTGTGAAAGCCAAAGTGGTGTCGGGGCTGGACAAGCTCACCTGATGGCTGGAAGCCCGTATCCACACCCTGGCGTTATGGTTTAGAGCGATGCACTGTGGCTGAGCGTGTGCTGTTACAATGGAAAACAAACTGACCAGAAAGGCATAATGGCCAAACAGGGGCAGGGAGCTGAGGCAGAGTGAGAATAAAAGTTGCGCAGATGCAGGGGCAGAGATCGCTGTGAAGGGTCACCCTTGAGCAGCAGAGTGGGCTCTTTGAACTGGAAAAGCCTGGTGCCAGGACCCGGCGTGGTACAGCATGAGGGGGAGCGTGGTGGTATAAAGGAGCTGCAGACAAAGCTGCCGCCATCCATCTTTCCCTGGCAATGGTAGAGGGGGTTAGAGCTCTTGCCAGAGTTTTCTTCTCACATGATATCCTCCATTGAAAGATACCCCGCCCGCTCGCGGTTGCGGCTCTTGCAGGCTGCACAATAAACACCACCACACAAGTCCAGGGTTAGAGCGAGGCCAGGCACCAGGCAGGGGCAGGCAGTCCAAGAGGGCCAAGCGGCAGAGACCAGCGGCAGAAGTGGCAGATAACAGCCAGGAGTGCAGCAAAAGATGCAGCGACAGCAACACTGCACTCACCAATGTCGTTATCCGCGCACACCTCGCAGTCACCGCACGAGGCGCGGCAGTTTCCCAGGGTGAAGGCGTCGCCGCGCATGAATTGCTCGTTGTTCTCGCACTCGCCTGCAGCAGGAAGACGGTGGCAGACGGTGGCAGGCAGCTCAGGGCTGGGGTGGGAGGGAGGGCCGGAGGAGGGAGGCACGCATGGAGCGGGTGCAGCGAAGAGCGCTGGGCGCCAGCGAGTGGCTGCCCACCTGCGTCGGCCCAGGCCTTGCAATCCGCCTGCGCGTCCTTGCACTCCTCAGGGTAGACAATTGCCTCGGCCTGCTCCTTGCCCAGCAGGTGGGGCCGGAAGGGCAGGGTATGTATCCACTTGGTGGCTGCGGCAGGGGAGGCGGGAGGTGGCAGCAGAGAGGTTTGGTGGCGCAAAAATAGCGGCTGTGTCGGTGCCAGGGAGGCTCGGCAGGAGCAGGGAAGCAGGATTGGCGAGAGGCAGCAACCGCGCCGCAAGGCGGCGGCCGGCGGCATACCCGTCCACTTGACGCCGGAAATGATGGGGCAGCCGGTGTGGAGGGAGTATGCGTCAGAGGTGCCATCGGGCTTCAGCGAATAGAAGAGCAGGGCATCTCCCTTCTTCGGCTTGGCTGCAGACAGCATGCCAGGCAGGCGGGACAAAGAGGCAGTTAACACATGGGCCAGCAAAGCCGCACAGGCAAGGCGAGGCTGGGAGGGCCTCAGGAGTGCAGTCTGCCAGGCTGCCGCGCCGCAAGGACCCACCCGCCACGTGGCCGTCTGCGCAGGGGCTGAATGGCGCAAAGCGCTGCTTCACGCTCTCGTCAATCCACTCTGAGCCCTGCAGCAGCAGCAGCAGTGGGAAAGGTACGGTTTCACAGTGAATGAACCCAAAGGGCTAGGCAGGTGGCAGGGAAGCCTAGGGTGCAGCTAGATACACACAACGGCAACTCGGATCCTGCCGACATACAAGGCCTGCCGCCTCACCCCCGGGAACGCCGTCTCGCCGCCACCGTCGGCAGGCACATCTGACAGGTACAACAGCACGGTGCAGACGCGGGGCGAGTCGTTGTCCAGGCTGTCGTAGTGCGCACCGTACTTCTGACCGATGCCGTACCTGCAGGCAGTACACAGTGGAATTGACCATGCATGTTGCACTGCTTGACCTGACAGAACGCATGTGCAGCCAACAAGAAGTAAACCAGGAGCCCTCTGCCGCGGATGCAGAGAGGTGGGCCGCCCCAAAAGCTGGCACGGCTCGCCGGCAGGCTGAGGCCCTGCCCTGCCAGCCCTCACCGCAGGATCTGCATGTCCTCTTGGTGCGACACATTCAGCTTGGTCCAAGCTGCACAGCGCGGTCACACCACAATACAGTCGTCGGCAGCTTGCAGCAGCAGGCGCAGGAGCCAGCATGCAGGCAGGAGGAAGCCCGGGGGCTAGCGGGGCAGCCCACGCACTTGCCAACCGCTGCTCCACCGCCGTCACGATCGGGTCCTGCAGCCGCTTGAGGAAGGTTCCGTACGAGGTGCGGATCTGGTCCTCGACGCTCGCCCCGCCCGCCCCTACCACAGTGCTGCGCTTCATCTGTAGCAGCGACCAGGGGACGCTGGAGTGATATGGGCCCGAAGGGGAGGCGGTGTCCCAGTGCCAAGCCCCGCGCATCCTCGTGTGCCCAACTCACGAATGGCTTGGCCAGTGCCACGATATGGTCTGCCTCCTCCTCTGTCATGAAGTTGTGGAAGACAAAGGCACGCGGCTTCCAGGACACAGGCTCCACCCTGTTTGTTGAGGTGGTGGGCGTGGCAAGGCAGGAGAACGTCAGGACACCTTGTGAGCAGAGGGGCACGTAGGTGCACAGGTACTGGCGCATGCAAGAGCAGCCTGTGCTAACTACGGCAGGCAGGCTGCAGCAGCCGCTGGGACGAAACCACCGCTGAACGTGAGCAAGAGCGAGCAGGCGGCGGCAGCAGCACGCACCAAGGCTCTGTGCTGTCAATCAGCGACCGCTCGTGCGGCCGGCTGTCACTGCTGCCTGCATGTTGCAGCAACAGAAGGGTGCGGGTGTGGTTCCAGCACTGGGAAGGAACTGTGGCGGGCTGGCAAAGCTGGCGGCGGCACCGTAGCCCGCACCGACCTGCCGCCATGTGCGCCAAGGCCAGCAGTGCTGCCAGTGTCAGTGCCGCTCGACTCATTCTCGGCGTGATCCGCCTCACTACCGCAAGCTGGAAGGCCACACAGGCCTACGGAGGACGAGGCCTGTCAGCGATGGCGTGTAGCGTTGCGCTCCTCGCTCAACTGGCCCGTGGAGCGCAAGCGGGATGCTGCGGCGCGAAGGGAACGACTAAAGCCAGCAATCCTCGCCCTGCTGTGTGCTGCGGCCAGCGGGGATGGGCCCCCTTCCAGGCCCCTGGGCCTCCACTGGAGGCCTCCTGTGTGAGCCGCCGACAGAAGTCAAGCCGCATTACCTCCTGCAGTGTCCTGGTGCCCGCAGCTCGATCGGGGCACGATGGAGCAGTCAGGAGAGAACACGAACGAGGACGTGAAGAAGGAGGCGCCCGGGGACGCCATTTCGATCAAGGTTAAAGACCAGAGCGGTGGCGAGGTGGGTTGAGTTGAAAACAGCTCAATCAGCGCACGCAGCCTCCCCCAGGGCCTGGGCAGGGGTGGTGCCAACCAAGGGAACTAGTCGAGGGACAGCGGGGGTAGCTGCCGCCGGCCGTGGGGTTGGCGGCGGTGGGGGCGGTTCAGACCCTCGTGTTGCGTTCTCTGCTGGACCGGACCTGCTCCTGCTTCACACCTGTGCGCACGCACCCAACCGCGCATGCAGGTGGTGTTCCGGGTAAAGGGACACACCAAGGTGAGCGCTACCTGCCGTCAGCTGGACAGCAGGCTGCCGCCGGATTTGCACTCGGCATGGTTGCACCAAACTCCTGCTCTCCTCCCGAGTTGCTGTTGCCTCTGCTCGCCAAGCTGCCCCCGTCCCGCCCTCATCTTTCCTGTCGCCTCCTGCCGCCCCACCGCAGTTTGAGAAAATCATCAACGCTTTCTGCCAGAAGAAGTCTGTGGACCCTGCACAGGTGCTTGGTTGTTTTGCCCAGAAGCGATCCCACGCGTGGCCCGCTTCTCATGCACAGGGCTGCTGAGCCCTAAGCAGCCTGCTGAGCCTTCTTACGCCGTCCCCGGCTGCAGGTGCGGTTTGTGTATGACGGCAACCGGGTGAACCCACAGGCCACGCCAGATTCAATGGAGATGGAGGAGGGAGATACCATCGATGCTTTCCTAGAGCAAGTGGGCGGCGGCAGCAGCGTGCGCAGCGCGTGCTGAGCGCGCCGCATTGGCCCCTGGGTGGGCCAACGCCCTGGCCGTGCACAGCCCGCCTCAATCCCTGGTGGATCCCTGGATTCCACGCCTTCTCTCATTTCCTTCCCGCTCGACGTTTTGCGCTGCACTCACCTCTCAACGAGTAACACCTCTCGACGAGTAACACCTCTCGACTCAACATGTCGGGTTACAGATTTTGGAGGGAGCTGCTGAAAGTGAGCAGCATGCCAGGTCTGTGCTGCAGAGAGAAGGCTGGCGCCTGGAGGTTGCCGGCTGGATGCCTGAGGGAATGCCATTGGTACAAGCGGTAGCGGCAAATCGGGGAGAAAACGTGGCAAGTGGCATTGATGGCAATGGGCAGAGAAGGTTCATGAAATGAGCGAGTGGTTAACGAGTGCTGGACGACTACGCAGCTGACTGATTCATCATTGACGAGGGTGCATCTTCCAGCTACAGCTTGGAAAGCTGTGCATCTATCGCGGCCTCCAAGGTGGGGTCTTCACACACCAGCCGACGCAGCGCGGACCGCGCTTGCCGCAGCACCTCGGCACTGCACAACATGGCCGTGAGCGCCCACAATGAAGCATGCAGGGGTGTTGGCAGGCAGCACTTGTGCATGCCCGTCCCAGGGGCGCAGCCCGCAGCAGCCCACCATACGCCTCCCCGCCATGCTCCAGGGCCGCTCACCTCATCAGGTGCACGCTGGCAAGGATGGTTTGGCGGCATGCCAGCAGCAGCGGTGACCTGCAATCCAAGCGGGCCTGGGCTGCAAGCTCCAGTAGGGCGGCCAGGCCTGGCGCCGGCATCCTTTTCAAGTCGCCAGGCGCAACAGCGTCAAACAGGTCTCGAACAAGCGCATGAGGCAGGCCTGCATCCAGGGGAGCAGGCAGGCACAAAGGGGGGCCGACGCGGCTGTCGGTGGCGTGCTGGCACCGCCGAACGCCACCCGCCAGCAGCAAGAGCAGAGCGCCAGCGCCCTGGACTGGCATGCCAGCAAAGCATCAAACTCGCCTTGGGCTTGGCCCACCACAGCAAAGGCCACCAGGGCGCTGGACCGCTCCTCGAGTTCGGCGACAGTAGAGTAATACATAAGGTCCCGCTGCTTCAGCCTGGCTACGTGGGCGTTTAACAGCGAGGCAAACAGCAGGCCGTAGCGGCCCGGCGCCAGGCATGCCAGCGCGCGTGCCACCTCGCCAGGCTGCAGCAGCACGCCGACACGGGGCGCCAGGCCGTCGGCGAGGGAGCGTAGGAGAGGCGGGTCGTCCCAGTGCAGGCGTGCAGCCGCTATGGTCAGGTTGGCAAGGTCGGCAGCGTCAAAGACATCCGAGGCCGCCACAGCGCTGCAGGCGCCCTGAATGGCCGCCACCGCATGCGCCGGCAGCAGCGTAGGGTGCGCGCTGTGCGCTGCCAGCGCCACCGCCGCGCTGCTCAGCTCGTGAGCGTTGAGCTGGCGGGCGCGCTGCGCCAGCTCAGACGTTGCCGCCAGGCTGGCCGCCTGAACCTCCATGCCCGCAGCGCTCATTAGCCAGCCGGCTGCCCCCACTGCCTTCCTTCCGGGTGCACTGGCGCTCCTGACGCGCTCCGCGCCTGTGCGCACCGCCACAAGCTTGCCGAGCGCCCACACAAGGTTGCACAGCGCTGAGGCGCTGCACCGCTGCAGCTCCTGGGGTGTCAGCCGCTGCACCGCCGGCACCAGGGTGCCGTCTGCGGCAGGCAGGACAGGGGGCAGCTCAGCGCACATGTGCATGAGCATCAGCAGCGGCGGTGCAGGTGGGGTGGCAAGCATGGCGTGGGGCACGCAGGCATGGAATGTCGAGGTGCCAAGGTGGCCGTTTCGACAAGACAGGGACAGGGCAGTACCCCGTGATGGCAGTGCCGCTGCAGCGGCGGCCGGCAGCGCACCTGGCAGCGTGCCGCCCAGCTGCGCGCAGGCCCACAGCATGCCCACAATGTCCACCGTCCGATAGTCTTCCAGGTGCGCTGCCAGGTGGCGTGCGCCGATGGACATGACGCGCGGCAGCCAGCGAGCTGTCTTGGCAACGGCCCACATCACAGCCGCCATCTGGCGCGGGGACAGGCTGTCGCGTGAGGCTGCAACCCGGTCGATCAGCGCGGTCCACAGCTCCGCCGCTGCGGGCAGGCAAGGAAGCGCGGAGGGTGGGTGGTTTGGGGTTACAAGAATAGCAGCTTCCGGCCATCTGGCTAGGCGCACCAGCCTGCTGCTCAGCGGCTCTCCGCGGCACCATCAAGAGGGCTGCAGCAGCTCCCAGCAGCACTGGGTTGCAAGCACGGCGAGCAGTGCTTGGCGGGCCGCACCTGGTTCCATCTGCAGCTCTCCTAGCGCCACTAGTATGCCAACCACATCATTCACCTGCACCTGGCGTGCCAGCGCAGGCTGGCACTGCTGCAACAGCGGCTCCACGACGCCACCCACCCGCAGCTGCAGCTGCGCCAGCCCCGTAAGCAGCATGGCGGCCTGCTTGGGGTTAAACAGCGGCGGCGGCACGCGCTCGGGCGGTGGCGGCGGTGGAGGAGGTGGAGGAGGCAGCTCCTCCTCCTGCTGCTGCTGCTTGGCGTGCTGCGCCCAGCCGCGCGGCGGTCCAGTCAACGGAGGCAGCTCAGCAACTTCCACGGGAAGCAGTTGATTCTCCAGCCGCCGCCATGTCAGCTGCAGGCGGCGCCCAGACGCCAGGGTGGCGACGGCAGAGAAGCTGCGCGCCCCGCTTGCCATCGCGACCCGACGGCCCCGATACACCAGCGCCTCCCAAAACATCCCAGCCGCATCGCACTCCTGCAGCACTGCCCCCGCTTCTGCCTGCGACAGCGCAGCCACCGGCCAACTGCTGCCGTCTTTGTTGCCTGCATCGTCAGCGCTGCTGCCGCCGCTGCTGCCGCTGCCCCTAAGGGGCGCCCCCTCGGCAGCCTGCTGCAGGCCGTGCATGCGAGACAAGAGCCGGAACGCCAGCTTGTGGCTGTATCGATAATTGGCGTAAGCCTGCGCAGCACAGCAGCGCGGTGATTGTGAGGCAGCCAGCTGAAGGCGGAGCAGGTGGCAGAGAGCACCTCCAGGCCTGGAGAAAGCGGTTCCTCTGTCGCCATGCCGGCTGGCTGGCGGTGCTTACATTAAGCGGCTTGACGAGTGGCTCCCCTTGGTCCATGGTGGCAAGCACCACTGGGTTCAGCTCAGCTCGACTGCACATGCACAGTTCCACTTCCGCCAGGACCCCGCCGGCGGTGGCCTCCAGCAAGTCATCCTTGATGGTGGAAACCTGCAGGACCGGTGCATGTGAAGCAGAGCACACTGTGGGTCCTGCGCCCAACGCATACCCAATCATTGTTGCCAGGGCATGAGCAGCAAGGCTTTGCCCTCAGCTGCAGGCAACCTTGGAGCGGGCCTTGCCCTTGCATGCATACCCCCAAATGCTCACCATCCGCTTCCATGCTGCGACGCGCATGCGCACCCCAAGCGCAGGCAGCGCCTCGTCGAGATGCGTGTCATGCACCCAGTTGATTCCTGGCATCTGCAGGAGCGGCAGCCATGGGCGTCAGCAAAACAAGTTCGTGCCAATGCAAGGGAGACCAGCAGCCGGCCTCTACCGCGCTACCACGGGCCGCCTCAGCACGAGGCAGAGGCTGGGCCCATGCCGTGGCAGGGGCACGGGCGACAGAGAAAAAGGCAGGCGAGGAGCTGCACCTTGATGGCCGCCGCGGCCGCCTCTGCCGCAGTCTGCCGCTGCTCCAGGCGCTCCAGCTGCAGGCGGCGTGCCTCGAGCCGGCTGCGGCACTCGTCTGCCACGCGGATCAGCACATCCTTGGCCACACGTCCGCGCTCCTGCACAGCAGGGTACGGCAGCGCGGGTGGCCGCAAGCTCAGCAGAAAGGTGAGGCCTGAACAGCTGCTGGCTGGTAGCTAATCCAAGGTGGGAAAGGCACGTCTGCTGCTGCTGCAGCTTGCTGCACCTTGCCACCGCAGTCGGCAGAACTGTGCGGTGCGCCAGCACGCCGCCACGCCCAACCCACCCGTCCGCACAGCCAGGCGAGCATGGCCAGGTCGTGCGGGGCGAAGAGCGAGAGGCTCATGCCCCGCTGCAGCAGGCCCGCCAGGTCCAAGAAGAGAGGAGAGTGGAAGGTGGGGTCCAAGGCGCTGCCAGCCCACAGCAGGGCGCATAGCTGGGCTGGAGAGTACTGCACCAAGCCCGCTTGGGCCAGGGCATGCATCGTGCGCAACACCGGTCGCGCTGGTGCCAGCTGCAGCATGCCCAGCGACCATGCTGCAGCCGACAGGGCAGCAGGGTCCATACGCGGTGCATGCAACGATGCCAGCTGCACCAGCAGCGAGGCCAGCGCGGAGCTGGCCGCGCCGGAGCTGGTGCCGCTGCTGCTGCTGCCGTCGTGGGGCCTGCCGCCCGGTGCGACGGCATCCGTGTGCTCTGCTGGAGACAGCAGGCTGCGTTTGGCAGCAGTTTCCAGGGCGGCTGCCACCTCAAGCCCAGAAAGCTCGCCAGAGTGGCGCAGCAGCAGATTGTGCAGCTGGCTCGCAGTGCTGGACGCCGCAATGCGCTGCAGCAGAGGGTTGCCGCCGCCGCCCCAGCCGTTGCTGCTGCTGGTCGCGTTGGCGCCTTCTGCACTGCCCGCGCGGTGGCCTCCAGCCCGGCTGTCCCGCCCCTGCTCCGTCGCGGCAGCGCAAACGACACGTTGCGGTGCCGGCGCAATGCCAGCGGTGCCGCTGGCAGCCAGGCGCCGCCGCCCGGCGGCTGCACGGGGGCCCCGTGGCGCGCTGCAAGGGGAACACGCAGGGTGTTGGCTCAGCTTTACAGCCCCGCAAGGGGCCTGCAGCACCCCGAAACAAGGGTGGCAAGGCTTCGGGTGGCGATGCGCGTGCCTGGCTGCGGCGCTACCTGCAAGCGGCCACGGGGCCCCTGGAGGTGGCGAACAGGGGCGCCACTTTGACTACATGCCTATGTGTGTGCAGGTAAGTTTCACGGCCTGAGCCTTGGCTAGTTGCAGCAAAATCACGTATGCATAGGAGTGATTGCTGAGCCCAAAGTTTCTGGCTGCCCGGGGTTTTCCACCCTGCCTTCAAAACTGGCCAAGCACATTCAGCGCCTGCAGCAATCCAGATCGTCTGTGGGTCATTCGAGCACCACCCTGCTTGCCAGTAGAGCTCCTTGGAGGGCGGTGATGACGAGGAGCTAGTGCAGTCGAAGTTGGGCCGCAAGCAAATGCCGCTTCTGAATCGCCGGCCTTACAGCTTCGGCGCAACCCAGCTCGATGGCCTCGATCCAGAGCAGGAGGTGAGTGGTGATTGATTCTGTGTGTTTTGATCGTGGTGCCCTCTGGCCGGCCCTTTCCTGCGCTTTGACAGCGTCCTGGAGGCAGACGACAGCCGTTCTGGGCTCGGCGGCCCGCCCTTGCAGCCCCAGGACCGGCCCGCCGTCGCCTCGACAACACCGCCGCCGCTGCCGCCCGCCACCTTCGCCGCCTGTCCCCCACGCTGCAGGTTTGGGTCGTCAAGGCCACGGGGGAGGTGTGCCGCAGCTATGAGGCCTACATGCAGAAGATAAAGCTGTACGATCAGCCCATGTGGAGCTGCAAATACAGCGGGAAGGGAGGGCTGACGCTGGAAGAGGCGCAGGCGGCGGAGCACAAGGCCTTGACTGCGCTCAAAGCGGTGAGCAGGGCAGCGATGCTGCTTGCCCTTCAGCCGCCTCGTGCATTTGACCGCTGCCTACCGCTGCCAGCTGTGGCTGTGCTGGTTGCCCTGACCCTTGAATGCTGTCGTTCCGGCTGGCCTCTGCAGTTCCCAAAAGAGTTGGAGGAGCAGGTGTGCCGCGCCGTACACCACAGCCTACTGCGAGTGGACGAGCTGGTGGGCGGCATCTATGACAGCCTGCGCCCCGCGGCGGCCGCCGAGGAGCCCGCTGCTGCTGCCACAGGGGCAGCAGACGGGGAGCAGCAGGCAGTGGTACAGCAAGACAGCCCCTCGCCCTTCGGCAGCAAGGAGAATGAGCCGCAGCAGGGGGCGCCGGCGGTCGCAGCAGCCGAAAAGCCTGCCGCACCAGCTGGCGAGCCAGCCGAGGGCGGTGCGGAGCCCGAGGCCGCCGCTGGGCCGGAGCCTGCCACCGCCAAGAAGCCAGAGGGCGGCGCAGCGGCTGGGGAGGCCGCCAAGAGCGGCAAGAAGCCCAAGACTCCAAAGGCACCAGTGTCCCGGCCTGCGCTGCGCACATACATCATCGAGGTGTGTAGGTGGCTGTATGGTAATGCTTGGTAGTGCTTGTGTCTGGGTGAATCCTGGCATGCTGGGTTGCCCTTCGGAGCGAAATTGCCACACCGTCAGATGAAGTGGGCGCCCTGGTCACGCTTTCCCTCCTGCCCGGCCGTGCCCCGTGCAGAACGCGGAGCAGCAGGGCCCCGAGCATGCCACCAAGCAGGTGTGGATGGTGCGTCCAGAGCTGCGTGAGCGGTACGACCTGCCGGCAGAGGTGCCCGCCGACATCCAAGAGAAGCTGGCGGCCTCGGTGAAGGCGCCCAAAAAGAAGCTGGGTGAGGTGGCGGCATGCATATACAGCCGCACAGCGCACCTGTCGGCTGCTGGGCTCAAAGAACTCTCAGGGGATGGGTTGGCTGGTGTGGTGGCGCTGAAACACGTTGCATGTGTTGCATATACATCCTTGCTGCCGGCCCACAAACTTCTCGCTTGCTTCCTGCGCATGCAGATGCCCCCAAGGGCCTGGGCACCAAGCTGCCTGCCAAGAAAGACGGGAAAAAGGCAGCGGCTGCGGCGACTGATGCAGGGTCGCACCTTGCCTCCGCCTCGCCCGGCGGCAGCAAGGCGGTGGCGGCCGGCGAGACGGGGGGCAAGCAGCCCAACGAGAAGGGCCCCATGGTGGCAGTGCAGGCCAAGCCTCTGGAGGTGAATGCCATGAAGGCCGGCCTGTCGGCCATGATTTAACAGTGGCCTTGCTTCCATCTGCCATCACCGGCTGGCTCTGTTGAGCTAACGACGCGGCGGTCTTGACCCACCGATCCAACTGGCCTCCCATGTACTGCCTGTTTTGCAGGAGGTGGAGAAGCAGTACAAAGAGGGTACCGTCAAGCGCGTGATTGTTGAGGTCCTCAAGGCGGTGCAGCCCGAGGCGTTGACCGCTCAGGGTGAGCTCATAGCTTGGCAGTGCTGTGGCCCACTGTTCTGCAAGGTTCCCTAAATCGATGCTGCCCAGCTGCCCCGTCGTTGTGTGAGCCATGCGTGCTTCATCATCTCCCAGCTGCTGGCGCTCTCCTTCACCTCCTGCAGGCATTGTGGACAAGGCCAAAGAGATGGGCCTGCGGGAGTTTGAGGAGAAGGAGAAGGCTCGCATCCCCAACGTGAGCCTTGGCAGCCTCAGGCTGGGCATGCTATGCATTCACACTTACCAGCTCGGCCGTCCAGGCGTTCTCAATGAGCGCCGCCCCGTGTTTTCTTGTCACCCTTTCCATGCAGGCCCTCACCAGCGACCCCAACTTTCTGCGCATCTCCAAGGGCGCCTACTCCCTGCACTGCTTCCACCCCGACAAGGAGCAGCTGGTCAAGGCGCCGCAGCCCAAGGAGCCCAAGGAGCCCAAGAAGGCAGCTGCTGCGGCTGCGGCTGCGGCTGCGGCTGCAGGCACACCAGCACCGGGGGCTGCGGATGCAGACCAAGGTGTTGCCAGCACGGCCAAGAAGGAGAAGGAGGCTGTGCCTATGGTGGCTGTGCAGGCCAAGACTCTGGAGGTGGGTGTGCTGGTCTGCACAACGTGCCTGCTGGTTTGCATGCTGTGGCCCTGCCACACAGCTTGCCCAGCTCATGGGCACCTGAAGACTGTCTGCTGAGTCACCTGTACTGCAGGAGGTGGAGAAGCAGTACAAGGAGGGCGCCATCAAGCATGCGATTGTGGCAGTCCTCAAGGCCGTGCAGCCCGAGGCGCTGACCACTCAGGGTGTGTTCTGGCTATGGCGCACTAACCGCTGTTGTTGTGCTGCCGTCCCTTCGGCTCTGTCTGCTCCTCCAGAGGAGTTCTTGCTGAGCATTGACTCTTGTCAACCATGCTCGCCACCTGCAGGCATTGTGGACAAGGCCAAGGAGCTGAGCATAGAGGGTTTGGAGGAGAAGCAGAAGACCATCCTGCAGGCGAGCCCCACTGCAAAACTGCAGGCTGCCAGCCAACCCGGCGCGCAAGGCTGACCGGCAGCCAGGTAGCAAACTCGGCCTCTGCTTTGCACGGCGCCAATGTGACTCTACTCCCCTGGCATGCAGGCCCTCACCAGCGACCCCAACTTCCTGCGCATCTCCAAGGGTGCCTACTCCCTGCACTGCTTCCACCCTGAGAAGGAGCAGCTGGTAAAGGCGCCTCAGCCCAAGGAGCCCAAGAAGGTGGTTGCGGCCGACACGCCGGTGGCAGCTGGAGAGGGCGGGGAGCCCAAGGAGGAGAAGGAGGTTGTGCCCATGGTGGCTGTGCAGGCCAAGACTCTGGAGGTGGGTGGCCAGGCAGTGGTCCAGCAGAACTGGGAGGCTTTCCATGAGATGCAGTTGCACCAGACACAGCATCGTCGCGCAGCAAGTTTCTGGTGGTGCTGCATCATTGGTTGTGGCATGCGGCCTGCTCTGGGAATGGGTCGATGAGATAAGGTGGCTCAGTGTAGCTGTGCCCCTGCTGTACTGCTTGCTCTGCAGGAAGTGGAGAAGCAGTACAAAGAGGGTACCGTCAAGCACGTGATTGTTGAGGTCCTCAAGGCGGTGCAGCCCGAGGCGCTGACCGCTCAAGGTGAGCACACTGCACACAACAGGACCCACTGTTGCAGGACGTTGTACCACGTGTTTGCCATGTGGCTTTACGACGTGTGTGCCACGGAGCTGCTGCATCTGTGTGGGTCATGTGTGCATATCGTCATCTCGCTGTCCTCCACCGCCTGCAGCCATTGTGGACAAGGCCAAGGAGCTGGGGCTGCGGGAGTTTGAGGAGAAGCAGAAGGCGGCGGTGGGACAGGTGAGGCATGGCTGAGGCATGGCGCAGGACCAGCCCACGCCCCGGGTGCCTGTGCAGACCAGGCTCTGTGCTCCTGGCCCGTGTTGAGCACTTTTCTGGTCGCTGGCAGCTGCCGCACCGCTACAGCGGCTCGTATATATTGGCGTGTGTGGCCTTCCATCGCTGCAGGCCCTCACCAGCGACCCCAACTTCCTGCGCATCTCAAAGGGCGCCTACTCCCTGCACTGCTTCCACCCCGACAAGGAGCAGCTGGTCAAGGCCAAGAAGCGCAAGATGAGCGACCACTTTGCTGGTGAGGAGTGGCGGCTGGTTTGCCGGCTGGGTGTTTTAATTTTCAGCCAGCCGAGTTGATTCTGGGGAGCGGCATTGGGCAGGCCGTGGTGCCTGCCTGCTTCAGGACCTGGCAGACGCTCGCCTCAAGGCTCCGGCGCCCTCCTTCAGTGCTTGCAGACGCCGATGAGCCCGGTAGCAAGAGGCAGGAGGGCTCTGCCGCGCCGCAGGCTGGGGAGGAGGTGGATAGCATCACTAAGGCAAGCGCGCAGGATGCCTGCAGTGGTTGTCAGAGTAGAGTGCATTGGACTTCTCCATTCTGTCCTTGATTCGACATTTAATTTGCCATCACTGAACAGACCTTCTGTCTGACTGTTTACTCCCGCCTGCAGGCTGAGCAGCACGTGAAGCAGACCAAGCGCTCGCTGGCGCTGCACCGGGCGGCGCTGGAGAAGGCGCAGGCGGAGTACGATGCTGCCAAGGCGGCGTATGAGCAGGACAAGAAGCGCGTCAAGACGCCTGCCAAGGAGCGCATCTCCGATGTCCACAGTGAGTTGCTTGGCCCGGCTGGCTTCGCTTGGCCTGGCCTGGCCTGGCTCAGCATCTCTGTCGCGCTGGCACCGATGCTGCGCTGCCTGCCCTGAGGCTCTTGTGAGCTGGCACGGCGTGCCTTTGGGGCCTCGTGAACAGCCCGCGTCCAAGTGCACTCTGTGGCTCGCCTGCTGCAGTCCCCGCGGAGCAGCTGGCCCAGTTTGAAGTCACCGAGGAGGAGCGGCAGTACAAAGGCGAGTCAGATGACCTCAAGGCGAAGCTGGAGCACAGGCACGTGGCGCCCTGCCCGCCCGCTGCTGCCGCCGGCGTTGCGACGGGTTTACGTCGGTGGCGAGAGCACATGCGCTGCCCAGGGGTTGCTGGTCAGCAAAATGGGCAGCAACTGCTGCAGGCAGTGGGTGTGGTGGAGCCTAATTGGCGGCCGTGATTGAAGTTTGTTTCTTTGCTTCCGCTCACGCATTTGTGCCCGCCTGACTGCCTGCAGGCAGAAGCTGCAGGCGCGGGCCAAGGAGCTGGAGAAGGCAAAGAAGGCGTTCCTGGAGGCGGAGCGCCACAAGCGGGACAAGGCGGCCAAGGAGAGCAACAAGGAGATGCGGGTGGGTTCAGCATGCTTGTTAGGCTGGTTGGTTGTGGGTTGGTTGTTACTGGGTTGCTGCCTGCGGTGGCTGTAGCTGTTGGCCGAGACGTGGCTGGGGTAGGTGGGGTAGCTGATTTGCCTGTGCTGACTCCCTCGCTGCTGGCTTTGCTTCTCTCGCAGACGGTAGAGGGTGCCTTCCGCAAGGCGGAGCGTGTGCTGGAGCACGAGCGCCGCGCCGCGGAGAGTGCCGAGAAGGCGGCGGCAGCGGCGGAGAAGCGGCTGGAAAAGTGCGTGGGCGGGGATCAGGGAGGGGGCGACAGGCACCACCTCATGTAAAGCTAGCCGGGATGCACTGCGGGGTGGGTGTTTCCTCATCAGTTCTGCCCTCCATGGCTGCTCCTTTGTGCAGGGAGAAGGAGAAGGCGGTGCGTGGCGAGGAGAAGGCCAAAGAGCGGGAGGAGCGGGAGAAGCAGGTGGGGCGAGCTGGCGCTGCAGGAATTGCTTGGTTTGTGATGTGGTAGCTGGCATGTGACGTGCTTCTGCAGACAGCTGTGGTGGTGCGCCCCTCGCCTGTGGCCCTCTTGCCTGAGCGCTGCCCCGTTCCGTGGCCTGCGCCGCCGCCCCGGGCTGCCCCCCGCAGAAGCTGGTTGAGCGCGAGGAGAGGGAGAAGCGCAAGGCGGAGGCTGCGCGGGCCAAGGAGGAGGCCAGGAAGTATCCCATGGAAGACCTGGAGCTGCTGGAGGAGCTGCGGCAGAAGGCTGCGGAGGCCGGTGAGCGCTGAGCGCACAGCAGTGAGACAGCCACCGGCTTGGTGGGGCTTGCGCCGCTCTGGGGTTTGGTTGAAGGGATTTTGTGCAGCTAGATTGCCGGGCCCTCTGCTCAGTCAAACAGTGGAGACTCACTTGGCCGCTGGCAATGGTGTTTGTAGGTGAGGCGGCGCCGGACGAGGACGTGGCGCAGCCCAGCTGGATGAGCGCAGAGGACTCGCAGGTGGGCACAGGCTGGGGAGAACCGTGTGAGGGTGCCCACCACTGGAGCTAGCTTCAAGATATGTAATGCGTGCACCGGACACACCAGTTACCTCGACGTGCCTTACCTGCTTCGTGTGCCATGCCCTGCGCTTTCCGTGGCCTGCCCTCTGCAACCTTGCGACCACCCTCCCTGTGCAGCGCCTGAGCACCGCGCTGTACGTCGCCGACTTTGTCAGCCAGTTCAGCAAGCAGCTGGGATGCCGCGGCCTCAACTACGAGCACTTGGAGCAGGTGCTGGCAGGTGCGCTCCTGGGGCCGGGTGCGTAGGTGCCACACAGGTTTGGTCAGCTGCATATGTGGGCACCTGCATGCAACGCAGTACCCCGACCTGCTTGGCTGGTGTGCACGAAACGGGTGTGATTGCTGGCCCGGCCCCATGCTTGCAACAGCACTCCTGCTCACTTCAAGCAATCTGCACACATTTCCGTGCCTCATCCTGCAGACGCCACCAGTGGCGGCGGCAGCGAGGACGACTGCAATGCCTCGGTGCTGCACTCCGTGTACGAGAGCCTGATCCGGGTGAGGGCGGCGACTGCCTCCACCGCGCCTGGCTCTTTGGCGGTGCTGTTGCGCACGTGCAACGCTGACTTGTCTGCTGACCTGGCGCTGACCTGGCACCCTCCTCCTGCTGCAGGTGATTCTGGACGATTTGCGTGAGGAGGATGTGGCCACGGCTCAGGAGAAGCGCTGGGACTCCCTGCTCAGGCAAGCAGAGCCGCGGTGGCAGCGCCAAGCGCAGGCATCACAAGACGCTGGCTGCCAGGCTCCCTTCCAAACCTGCCCAGCTACGACTTGCACCTGCTGAGAGGCATGCTCTGCTGCTGCTGTCCTGTTGCAGCGAGGGCACCTGGCCCGAGGTGCTACGCCGCTTTGTGCTGACACGCGTCGCGGACGAGGAGCATCACAAGTGAGTTGTATCGCATGTCTGGCGGCCGTACCGCCTTGCCGTCCCTCCCCGCTCAATGCTGCGCTCCCAACCCCACCTTACTCCCCGCCTTACCCCACCCTCACTGCTGTAATACTTCCATGCTTCCCATCCTGGACCAAGTGGCAATGCTCACAGCGCACCTGCACCTGCTTCTAAATGTAACGCATTTTCACGTTTCTGTTGCGCAGGCGCCCCGACCGCCCCGCCATCATGTCTGCCTCCATGCTGGCCTATGATGCGGTGGACCGGCTGACGCACGACCAGCACCTGGCCCTGCTGCGCTTCCTGTGTGACACGGTGCTAGACAGCGAGAAGATGCGGAGGGTGCTGCAGCGTGAGTGCGGGGCTGCTGGTGCTGCCGGGTGTTGGTGGGGGAAAGGTTGGGCTTCAGCTGGTTCTTGGGGCGCAGGGCGCAGTTCCAAGTGTGGCCGACAACCGACAACGTGGCATGCCGTCTCCGGTTGGTGCAGGGCGGGAGGACGAGGCTGTGGATGCCAAGCGAGATGTGCGGGGAGAGCTTGCGGAGCAGCGCAAGCAGCTGAAGGAGCTGCTTGATGCAGGTGGGTCGGCGGTGGGTGGGCGGCAGAAGGGAATGCACGTGGGGGTGGCTGGCTGCCTTGCCGGCAGCTTTGCTGAGCTTCGTGCGGGCAGTGATGGCCAGCCTGTCGGGTGCTGTGAGCAGGCTGTGGGGTGCTGAATACTCGTCCGGCCGAGCTGGTTTGCCATACCTGCAGAGAAGGAGGAGCGGAAGCGCAAGCGTGAGGATGAGCGACGTGCAGCAGAGGAGGTGGCTGCTGCTGCTGCTGAGGCCAGTGCTGCAGCAGCAGAGGGCACCGAGTGCGGCGCGGCGGCTGTGCAGCAGGACGGCCAGAAGCCTGCCTCCAAGCAGGGCTCAGTGGCCCCTATGGATGTGGATGGGCCCTCGTTTGAGCTGCCCGAGCGGTTGCGGGAGTTCACCGGCGCCGACAATGACAAGAAGGCGCTGCTGCAGTGGCGCCAGGAGCAGCAGGTGCGCTGGTTTTGGCATGGCCCGGCTTGGTCTGGCGTGCACCGCAGTTTCATTGCCCTGAAACTGAAGGCCACCCTCGCGTGTTCTCGCATGTTGTTGTCACGCTCAATCGCGTTTGATGTTGTGGTGTGCTGCACCTGCTATCCAGACCGAGAAGCGGCGCCTCGACAAGGAGCGCAACAAGTGGATGGCTGAGCAGCTGCGGCGGCAGCGCGAGGTGGAGGCGGCAGAGAAGGCGGCGGTGAGCAGGGTGGTAGCAGTGTGCTGGTGGTGGCGGCGCTGCACAACTGGCAGCAGAGACAGCGTTCCCTGTACCAGCGCCCCCATCCCAAACTAATCCCGCCACACCAACAACCACTCTAACAACCACTCTTGCTGCGCACGGCCCCCCGCTCTTCCTTGTCGCAGCGCGAGGCCGAGAAGGCCAAGCAGCGGGAGAAGGAGGAGAAGGAGGAGGCCATCTTCCGGGCGCAGGAGGCCCTGGAAGAGAAGCTGGAGAAGTACAGCACGCGGCGCGCACCGCTGGGCGCCGACCGCCACCACCGACGCTACTGGTGGGGGCTGGCGGGGCACCGGCCTGCGGTGTATGTGGAGGATGGCGAGGTGGGTGGGTGCTGGGGCCAGGGCCGGCCAGTTGGTGTGTGTGGTGACAGCCTTTATTGGTGGTTTGGGTTGGCAGCTGCTGGCAGGCAGTGCCAGCTGAATGCAGCATGTGCTGTGTCAGGCCTCGCTGGCACGCATGGATGTGCTGACGCCTTCATGCCGCGGCTGCTGCTGGTGCAGGGCCGCTGGGGCTCCGTCTCTTCTCTGGCCGAGCTGGATGCTCTGGTGGGCTCTCTGGACCGCCGTGGCATTCGCGAGATGGCTCTGGCAGAGGTGGGTGCGGGCTTGGTGCCGTGAGGCTGCCCGTGCGTGGCAGCCCTGCACCTGCATTGTAATGCCTTTTTTGTGCTTGAAAGCACAAACCACCCCGCGCTACTTCCATCTGGAGCACCTCTTTCTCCCCTTCCCCCTCCTCCCCAATCCACCAGGCCATCGAGAAGCGCTTCCAAACCATCAGCGTTGCCATGCTGCGCGCGGAACGCATCGCCGCAGCCGCCGCCGGCAGCCGCGGCGGCAAGCAGGAGAAGGAGCGTGCGGAGCCGCCGCGGCGCAGCGGGCGCCAGACGCAGCAGGTCTGTAGTCGGTCCGGACGTGTTTGCAGCATGCACATTGCGCTGAATTGCTGATCCTTTACTCATCCACCATCGCTACTCTCTTCCTGAACTTGACCAACACTCCTTCCCCTCTTCTCAATCCCTCCTCCACCTCTCTTCTTTCCCACCGCAGGTCGAGTTTTTCGATCCTGCCAAGGGAGGATCCAAAGGGGGCGAGGCCCCCAGTGCCACAGGCCTGGCGGCCTTGTTTGGCCCCGCGGAGTGCGCTGCCGTGGAGGCGGCGGCCGGGGAGATGGCGGAGGTCCAGAAGAGCGGCGCCTCGCTGCTGGCGGCGCCCGAAGGCTGCGGCAGCTGGAAGGAGTGGGCAGCCGGCGTGCAGGCAGCGGCCGCGGGCGAGCTGGAGCAGGGCGGGGAGGCGACGGCGGCGGCTGTGCGCAGCCTGCTGCAGGCCAGGCTGGTGCAGCTGGAGGCGGCGCTGCTGGCAGAGTCGGTGGGCGGGCTGGCAGCTGATGGCGACTCTTCCGGTGAGTGCTGCCATTCATTGACGCCGGCTGGGGGTGTTGGGGTGCACGTGTGCTTCCAGCCGGCCGGCCCAGAATCTGTCTAGCATCCAGGCCACAGCCTGCCCTTGCCTGCCCCACCTATTGACAACCCTGCGCCTGGCTGCAGACGAGGAGGCCAGCGAGGGCGCGGGGGAGCGCCAGGCCAGCGGCGAGTGGTCGCCCGAGGGCTCCTCACCCACCCAGCCGGCTGGCGGGGTGCTGGATGTTGTGGACGACCTGTTCAGCCCCTCCAAGCGCCCCGAGGTGTCTTACCTCTGGAAGACCCAGCGAGAGCGCAGCACCTGGCAGGTGTGCGAGATGCACGGGCCCGCCTGGCGGGCGGCAGCTGGCAGTTGGCCTGCTCGCCGGCTGCCGCGGCGCGGCCTCCTCAGCTTGCCCCCGCTGCTGCCTTTGCGCATTCCCCCTGCTGCTGGGCTGATCCTGTTGCTCGCGCGCGCGCCAACCCTCTGCAGGCGGACGTGCGCCAGGCCTCCACCGCCGCGCGGCTGGCCTACTGCGCCGCTGTGCTGGCGCAGCAGGCGGCGCCCATGCTGGCCACGCTGCGCAAGGCCAGGGCCAGCGGGGCCAAGAAGGGCGGCAAGGGCTCGGGCAAGGCGTCTGGCGGCGCCAAGGCGGCTGCGGCAGAGTCCCGCGCCGCCAGCAAGGCGGCTGCCGCTGCTAGCTCCCGCCCCGTATCTCGCACCAGCTCCATGGCGGCGCTGGAGGCGGCGCCCGGCAAAAAGGAGAAGGGAAAGCGCAAGGCTGCCGCGCCGCCACCCGAAAACATGCGCCTCACCCGCAGCCGCCACTGACGGCCTTTGCTCGCCCGCCGGGTTCCCACCAGCACAGCAGTGTTCATTTGATTGCCTGAGCACAACCGTAACAATAGCTGACCAGAAACACCGGGGAGACTGAGGCCCAGCATCCCCAGCAGCGGCAGCGCCCAAACCAGGCTGTAGCTGCGTGCAGCCTGTTCTGCACCTGGCACGGCCAGCTGCAGCTGCAACACCCTGTGATCATCTGACGTGGGCAGCTGTTGCCACAGGTTGCAAACTGCCTTGTTGCAGCAAGGAGAGAGAGGAGAGGGAGATGTGATCATGCAGCAAAAGGAAGAAAGAATGGGGGCCAACAGTCAACTCCGGGATCGGAAGTCGTGCCTGACGATCGTCAAGTTCTGGGTGAACTTGTCTCTATTCTTGGGCTCCAGGTTGCGCTGCACATCCTGCGCAGTCAAAGACAGGCCCGGAGGGGCGTGCCCAGTGCGCCTCAGTACCATCCCCTTCTGGCAGCAGAGCAGCGAGGAGCCCAGCTGAAAGCCAGCCAGCCCAGCCTGTGGCACCAAGCATGGGCATGAACTGGCATCGGGCTGCCAGAAAGAAGGCGGCCCACCAACACCCCACTCCGCGCACCAGCATCAGCTTCTCCAGGCAGGCTGCCAGGTGCTGCTGGCGGTCGGGCATCTGACTAGCCACTATCTGCTGCCGCAGCTGCCCGTAGATCTGCTCGTTGATGAGTATGAGGCTGCAGGCAGGCACATGGGGGCGGGCGGCCGGGCAGGCAGGCAGCCGCAGGTTGGCGGCCAAGAGGGAGGGAGGGGCGCCGGGGCGGTGCAGACATGCGAGGGAGCAGACAGTAGCCCCCATGCTGCTCGCCCAGGAGGTTGGGGGCCGGGTGGAGGAGCGGGATGCTTGGCAGCACTGGCCCAGCCGCACCTCAGCATGGGGCGGCTGAGAGACCACTGGTTTGTGCAGTCCTCGAACAGAACAATCTCAAACAGCGTGGAGAGGATCTGGGGGAAGAGCTCGGGGCGTTGCCGCAAGTGCTCCGCTATGGCCTGCGCAGCGAAAGGGGGCGCACAGAGGGCCATGGCGAGAGCGTGCCTCAATGTGGTGGTGCGGGGCTTTGGGGGTTAGGAGGCAGCAGCCAGCCGGTGCTGAAAGCAGCTAGCACAGCAAAGTGTGCTGCAGGAGCTGCGCGATGTGGAGCGCGACAGCGCAGGACGGCCGGCGGCGCTCACTGCTGCTGCGGGGGTGGGGCTCTCGCTGCCTGGCATGTGCTTGAAGTAGTATCCAGCCAGGTTGTCCACCGCCGCCGCACACTGCGAGCTGATGCTGACGTCCAGGCTCTTCAGCCCCGCATCCAAGCTGTTCAGCAGGAAGCCGAACGTGGCTGTGGCAAGAGGGGCAGATGTGAGTGCATCCAGTGGGTTGAATGACAGCAGACGGCACAGCTACTTGGTGCCTGACAGCCAATCCCACACCCACACACACTTCCAACCGCGCGATCGCCCTCCACAATCCCCCCAGGCTGGCCCCCTGCTGTGGTCGTGCTGTGCTCACTCGTGTCCCGTGTGGCGATGACGTTGGAGTGGTTGTGGCACAGCACATCCAGCAGCGCAAAGTACGCCTTGCCCACCTTCCTGCACGCAGCGAGGAGCGGCGTGGCACATGCAGGGCGAGTCGCGTCAGCAGGGCAGCCTGAGCAGGCCATGCGAGGAAGACTGCGAGGGCGTGCCATGCCGGCTGTGCGGCTCAGATCTAAGCTGCGGCTCGCCTGTACGCCAGGATGTCGTTCAGAGGGATGCTGAGCGCCATCTTCAGGCTCATGTCCAGAGCATCCTGCGCGCCATATGAAGCGGGAGGGAGGCATAGAAAAAGCAGGTGAGAGGAGACGGGGGAGACTGGGCGGGGAGGCGAGCGGCGAGGCACCGCAGCAGCATGGGCCAGCAGCGCCGTCACACTCGCCACCCTCCAGTGCGAAGAGAGGACAGGCAGGAGCAGCTATGCCTCTGGAATGCCCTTCATTGGCCGGCCATATCCCCCTCAAGGCGGCTGCCTGAGCGCGGGGCTGCCACAGGCAGAAGCCAGGCGCCTCACCTTGAGCGCAGGGTCGCCGTACAGCTCAAACACGCCAAAGTTGACGTAGTTGCCGCCCAGCGCCCGCGTCAGGATGGTCAGGCAGTTCCAAATGCCCTTGTACTTCTGCAAAACATGGCGGGGGATGGGGTGGTGGAGAAGGGATCAGTGGTGGATGAATAAAGGCAGGGGGGGAAAGGTCGGTGGGTTTCTGACGTCTGTGTGCTGGGGGCAAAGGCCAAAAGCTAACCAGGGCAGTTGAGGCACAGAAGTCTCGAAACAGTCACCCAGCCCACCTGGCCATAGGGGTCTGCTGTGGGCGCTAGCTGCAGCACACGGTTGCCAAACGTCACTATGACCTGCAGCAGGCAGGCGTTATCGCGATAGCGCACACGCGGCAGGCAGGGCGTCAAGGGAAGGCAGCCGCGACTGGCGGCGAGCCTCGCACCAGCCTTGCCCGACCCTGCATATCCATCATCCTGCCCTCAAGCCTGCTGCCGGCCAAGGTTTCTCCGGCACGCACCTTTGAGACTTCCCGGAACAGCAGGATGCCGTTGGGCGAGGAGGAGTCAAAGGTGAGGCGCTGCGTCTTGTTCAGGACAAACTCAGCCATGAACTTCAGCAGCGCGGTCGTCACCTCTGGCGTGTCTGCAGCAGCAGCAGGCAAAGAGACGGCGTGTGGCACGCAGGCAGGCAGGAGGCAGGCAGGGCAGGCAGGCAGAAGAGTGGGAGTGTGCGGCCTGAGCAGCTCAGGCCAGCTTGAGACGCCCAGAACCCAACAGGATTGGCATTCCGTGCTGCCCACCTGCCCAGGCCTCCATGCACGCCAGGATGGTTGGGAAATGGGCGGGGTAGAGCCAGTCGAACAGCATGCCTGCAGGGAGGAAGGCAAGAGAGGACCAGCATGAGCGACGAGCCGCAACAGAACCACAAGAAGCGAGTCCCTTGCTGCAATCATTTCACAGCAACTCGGGCACAAGAACGCAGCACTGGGCCACCATAGGTATGGCTCCCACGCCCGAACGCGGCCCAAACCCGCCACCCACCATACGTCCGCCTGCTGTTGGTTGCAGTGGCGATGCCGCGGAGGTCCCGGAACAGCCCTATCACGGTTTCCTTGGGCACGCTGCCCCGCAGCGCTGCCGCGTTGGTGGCGTTGTTGCTGGCTGAGGCCAGGCCCACCAACACCTGCGGGGGTGCTTGTGCGGGCGCAGGCGCACGGGTGAGAGATGGTGGTGTCGAAGGCGCTATGGCAGCAGCGACCAATCAGCTGATCACGGCAGGGCAGCGACCAGAATTCTGATCAGGCACAGAATCCAGCAGCCTGCCACACCACTACCATCGACCACAACAGCACACCAGCAAAAGCAGCACATGCCCAGCGCGCACCTGCTGCAGCGGGGCCACAAAGGACTTGAACTTGGCGGGGGTGTCCTCCATGAAGAGCAGGCGGGCCAGGGTGTGGTAGAAGGTGGTGCGATTGCGCAGGTTGGAGGGGTCGGTCAGGAAGGGGAAGTAGTCTGCAGCAGGTAGCGTGCTGTGCGTGTGTTGTGTACGTGCAGGCTGTACGTGTGTCCGCAATGTGTCCATCAAGTACAAAAACCTGCGGTTTTGAAAGCCGCAACATGCAGGCAGGTAGACAGGCGGAAAGGTGCCTGGCGTGGTGAAGCCCGCGCACCCGAGGTGTGGTGCGTGAGCAGGAAGGCGATGGCGTCTAGCTTGAGCAGCAGCTTGCCGCTCATGTACCCCGCCGCTAGGTCCTGCTCAGGAGAGGGCAGGGACGTGGGTCAGGGAGGTGGCTTCGAAGCTTCAAATCGCGACGCAGCACACGGGCACGCGGGCATATGGCCAAGCAGGAACGAATGCACGGCTCCCAGCACGAGCCGGGCTGCATTGAATGACCAGCTGCAATGAAGGACCAGCTGCTACCAATTGCATCACCCAAACAAGCACACACACTATGTGGGCGCTGGCGCCTCCAGCTGACCTGGAACAGCGTCAACGTCTGCTCCACCACATCCTCGCAGCTGCCAAACACCTTGAGGTTGGTGGCGATTTTGCTGCAATGGGCATGGACAAGCAAGGCAGCGGTACAGCTGTCGGACAAGCAGCACAGCAACGATGAACTCAGGGGGACGGATTGAACACTGGGGAGCGAGTCTGTTGGTAGCGCTGCCATGGGCAGACCTGCCATGAAGCCCCACCTCAGCATGATGTTGAGCACTGTGGAGTGGTCGCTGAGGCCCAGCCGCTCGTTCAGCTTCAGGTAGACCTTGCTACTGTGCATGACCTGGTGCGGGGAAAGAAGGAATGGCTTTGCAATCGATGTGCAGCACATGCTGGGCACAGCCGGCCTTGCCTGATGGCATACCATGCCGCATTACCGAGGCCTGCCCCCATTGAGTAAGTTCGCACCTGCTCCCCCACATAGACCTTGCGGAAGTTTTGGAAGAAAGACAGCAGCGCCAGGTCCAGCCGCTGCCGCGAGTGTTCCCCATACCTGCAGCAATCCCCATTGGGGCTGGCAGTCGGCTCGAGCAGAACGCAGAACGCATCAGCCAGGCAGACCTTGCCAGCTGGCACCTCTGCAGAACCACGAAAGCTGCCCCACATCTGCTCACCGCGTTGTGTGGTACCCCGCGTCTACAAGCCGCAGCAGCCCAAACACTCTAGCCGCCAGGTCGCCATCCATCGTCTCTTGCGCATCTGCCCCTGAATCGCACCAAACACACCGCGATGTCAGCCAGGCAGCAGCCAGGGTGCACTGGGCAGGGCATGGTGACAGGGCAGGGCGCCAACACCCCACGACCAGAATGCAATCAGGAGGCAGCACTTGGCACCCAGCCAGACACCCAAGTCAGGCGTCGGTTCACCTGTGGTGTTAATGCGCCCCCGCACCACCGCCCCAATGATGTGCACCAGCCACGTCAGCTGCCCCTCCAGCATCTCAAGCTGCTTCAGGTCCTGGCCCGCCGCCGAGCCGCCGTAGTTTTGGTACGCGGCGATGAGCGGGTCGGTGAGGCTGGTCAGGTACTCGGCAGTCTCTCCGTACTGGAAGCGGCACAGGTAGGGCAGCGAATCCATCTGGTCCTGCACACCACAGGCAGATGGAGCCAGGCAAGGAAAGGACGGATCAGTGATGCACACACAGGCAGACAAGTTGCAGCGGGATGCTGACAATACGTTGGCGAGATGTCAGCAACCCCAGGGCAAGTCAACACACAGCCGCCTGCCTACCTGCAGCTGCTCCTCGTTGTCCAACGGATCCTCTCCTCCCTGCATGACTACCGCTTGCACTGCAGGGTAGGGCGCAGAGAGGCCACGGCGGGCGCCGTCGTGGTGAACGGCACGTGGCTGTGCCCAGACAGACCAGCCAGCACGCTGGCATTCAAGGACATCCCCAGCTCCAGCCAGTGTGATGAATGGCAGCCTCCCGCTATACTGCCTGGCCGCCTCACCAGACTCGAGGCGGGAGGTGATGTAGGCCCGGGTGATCTTGGGCACATACACATCCAGCTGCGAGGGTGCATCCCCCTTCAGGTACGGCATGCTCGACACCAGGCGGGACCTGCGGCAGCAGACCAGTGGCAGCACCATGAGATGGAGGATGCGGGGGCTGCAGGCGGCGGCGCCAGCTTGCCGCTTCAGGGCCAGGGATGAAGGCAAGATAGCAGGCGGGCGCCACACGTACAGCCGGGCAGGCAGACAGAGCAGCAGAAGGGCAGGCAGCAGGCGGCCTCGCCAGATGCCCAGCACGTCGAGGCATGCAAGCGTTCATGCCAGCCAGCCAGCCAGCAGGCAGCAACAGAGCAACCAGCCAGCGGCCTCACCACAGGCCCAGGAGGTAGTAGACCGAGCCAGAGGCCCACTGCCAGGAGTTGAGCGAGGAAACGGTGAAGTCGGCCACCAGCTGGATCCACTCCTTGTAGCTCTCCAGGCCCACCTGGACCCAGGTCAGGGCGGGAGCACAGCACTTTGCTTGGCAGCCAGCCGTCGGCGCGCCCGGCCACAGCATTGCGCGCCGCTGCCCTGCGCCGCCAATGCCAAGACCCTCTGCAAAGCCAATCTGCCGCTGCGCGGCAGCGAATCTCCCTCCCTCTACCCTCCCCTCAAGCCCAGGCTGCTGCTCAGCTCAGAACAGCCCGGAACAGCCCTGGGCCAGGACAGGACATACGGGGCGTAGTCCACCCCAGCCCAGCCCAGCGCCCGCCTCACCAGCTCCGACAGCTGGTAGTTGGCCTTGAGGCGGCCCAGCAAGCGGCAGAACTCGTGATAGTTGGCGTGGTGGGCCAGCCCGCTCTGCTGGCGCAGCAGGTCGCGCGTGCCGTTGACCAACCTGCCGGCACAACACAAACGGAAACGAGGGTGGTCAGCAGAGCGCAGCGGAGGTTGGTGGTGAAGCAGCAGCAGCAGCAGCAGTGCACAAGGGTGAGGCTGTGTGCGATTCTTCACAATGATCTCAGAAGCAGACCAGGCACTGGCTGCCACCCCTACAACACTTGGCAGACAGCGCAAATGCAGAGCACGCACGCATGTCAGCAAGGAATCAGCGGGCCCACCTGCTGAGGAAGTTGGAGCGCTCGGTTTCGCTGCTAAACAGAGAGCGGCGCACCGAGGCCAGGCGCACCTGCGGGGGCGCACCGGGCGATCTATGGAGTGAGAAGCCAGGGCACACCACTGCTGCCAAGCTGCCAAGCACTAACAAGCCGCAAAGAGCGATCCACGCTGCCGACCCGGCCAGGCGCTGCTGCTCACTAGGCACTCTAACGCCATGTTGCTGAGGGGCGGCTGGGTGGCGCAGTAGCAATCTATGAAGAGCTGCAAGGTGGAAGGGTCCTCGATGGACGCACGCCACGCTGCGCAGGGGAGAGGCATGCGGTGAATGCCAGGTGAGCGGAGAGCAGCCAGGCAGACGCACTTGTCATGGGTCGGTCATGCCACATGCCGTGGCTGGGGTGGTGCCAGCACTGCCCGCCTCGTGGCCCAGCCAACTAGCCCCACCTGAGGGGACCTGGATGGTGCCAAGGTCCTCTGACGACTCATCCAGGCAGGTCCCCACGAAGTCAAATGATAGGCACTGCAGTGCCAGCTGGACTGCCTGCAGGGAGCACCCAGAAAACCACACACAGACACACAACAGTGGGTGGTGGGTGGCCCGCAATACATGGACGATGGAGACATGGGACGACGCCTCACACACTGCCTACCTGCTCCTTCAGCTTCTCGTCGGCTGCCGTGCCGTGTAGGTGGCGCAGCGCCGTGAGCGCCAGCTGGAACACCTTGTACAGCGACTGATCCCTGCAGTACCAAGAAGTGCCAGGCAGTACAGCCAGGTCAGCCGAGGAGTGCACGCATATGCATGATGCGCCTGCCACTGGCGCTGAGTGTGCTGGCATAACTCAGTTGCACCAGCATGCCACAGTGCAGGAGAGGGATGCTAGGTGCAGCCGTCTGCCGCACCTGAAGTTGACCGCAATCTTGCGGTGCTGCGTGAGCGAGCGGCCCGCCGTGGGCGCGTTCATCTCTGACACAAGCATGTTGAGGATGCGCAGGCCCAGCAGGTAGTGCGCCTGGGAGCCTCCCTGCACGCCCGGCAGGTTTGCCACACGAGACAGCAGCAGATGTATGTGTCAATCGCCGCAGAAATCAACGCCTCGACAAACCTCCTGCATGCGCTCCGCCCAAACAAGTCGTGCATAAACTCGAGCACTGCCACCTGCACCAGACCAGACCCAGCCTCACCGTGGTGCCCTTCTCTAAAAAGTTGCGAGCCTCGTCTGCCAGCACACGGTAGGCATCGTCCTCAAACCACCCCAACTTGGTCATGCGGCAGAGCAGCTGGATGAGCGAGGTAGCCACAAAGGGCTCCAGCTGCGGTCCTCGGCTGCAGACAGAGGCAGAGGCGGCCAGGGACGATTTGCATGGATGGAGCCTGGGTAGAGGTGGCACGGAGCTACCGGCCTCCACGCATGCATCCCCAGCTAGCCTCCACTCTGCCAGCCAAGGAAACAAGGCAGCAACAAACAGTGTTTCAACCCTGCACACACTAGCCCCGACGCTCCCCCCATCTCCTCGTCCATCACCTGTCCAAGTAATTTAGAAAGTAGGTGCGCATCTCCAGCTTCACTGCTGTGCTCAGCGTGTGCTCCGTCACAATCTTGATGAGGCTGGAGGAGGCAAGCACCTGGGCGTAAGGCGAGGAGGAGTTGTCCAGGATTGCCTGCAGGGCGTGGATGGTTGGAGGCAGAAGGTCAGCGCAGAAGTGGAGAAATGTGGAGGGCAGGGCATGGGGCCTGCGGCGTCCTTCGGGTGCCCACAACTGTAAGAGGCTTCACAAGGCGGGACGGCTGCACTTTGCAGGCAGGGACCCGCCTAGACCCATGACTGCACCTTGCAGTGTGCCACATACTCAGTGGAAGTCCCAAACACCCGCAGCATCTGCTCGGCTTGTGCGCGCTCCTGGGGCACCTGCACATGTTTGGTGCGGGCAACGGGGGAGCGTGGCAACAGGGGAGCGTGGACTGTCCGCAAGCGGGGTGGCGACTGGCGGGCAGGAGGCGGACACCCTCAGGGGCAGTGCTGAGTGCGCCTTGGAGGCTGGAAGCGGCTCTAGGGAGACCGCACGGTCTGCGTAGGGCGTGTTCCAGCCACGGCAGCCCACATGAGAGTGATCATTGCCGCACCTGAGACAGGTATAGCTTCTCACTGGCCGCCTCAAGGGCGGGCAATGACGCCAGCAGGTCCCCCATCTTGCTGTGCCGCTCGATCGGCCCGAATTCGCCAGCAGTCTCAGGCCATAGGGCCGCCTCTCCAGCTGCTGCACCCTGATCGACTGACAATCGCTTGATCAGGTCGCCTTGAGGGCAATTCAACTCTGGCGGCATCCCTGGGCAATGGGTTGCTGCCCATGCAGTTTCCTGATGGAAAGCGGTGTGAACAGCGGGTGTGTGGCCACCGTGCCTGTATTTCTTGGTGGGGATCGCAGGATTGCATCCAGGTGCAGCGGCCCTTCGCTATGCCGGCGCTTGCAGTTTCTGCCGCCTTTGCGGCCCCCAGCACCTCTCGCGCAGAGTTGTGGTTCCGCGGCGCACCACCAGCTTGCGGCGGGAGGGCGGGGACCTTGCAAGCACGGCAGCACCCACGAGCGGGCCGCCGCGCCACCGCCGCCGCCGCAGCAGCAACAGATCGCCGCACCAGCCAAGCAGCTGCTGTGCAGCCCACCAGCCTACCAGAGGCAGCAGCAGTTGTCAGAGGCAGTGTGTCCTCGGTCGGTGCTGCGGCCACAACTGGCAGCAGCTGGGCAGAATATGCGGGAGCGATCACAGCAGCGGCCGCGGTGCTGTTGGTGGCGGGGCCTGCGATGGCGTTAGAAATCCGCATGGAGCCTGCCAATGCGCTTAGCCTGCCCACCTGGGCGGTCCACACCTCGTCCGTGCTGGAATGGGTGACCGCCATGGGCCTGATGTGAGTGGCAACAGCCTGATATATGAAAGTCCATTCCGACACATGTGCATACCTCCTTGCTGTCGCCCCCCACTCACCCTGCTTACCCGACTGCCCGCAGGTGGCGGTATGGCGAGGTCAGCGGCAACACTCGGTGGAAGGGCATGGCCTGGGGCATGCTGCCCTGCCTGGGCTCCGCCATGTGCGCCTGCACATGGCATCTCTTCTACAATAGCCCAGACCTGGAGGTGGGTTCAGTTCGTGCTGTTCTGGCGTCACTGCCAGAAGGGAGCAATAGCTGCCCCTGTCTCTCCCATTTCTGCCCTCGTCCTGCATCTGCTGAGCACATCCCCCTGCCTGCCCTGGCGCCCCCTGCAGTTCCTGGTGGCATTGCAAGCGGCGCTGACGGTGGTGGGCAACTTCACCTGCTGGCTGGCCGCCTACCAAATCTACGCAGCAGCGCAGCAGGAGCAGGGTGCGTGAGGCTCGGCGAGGGGGTGTAAGCAGCTGCGCCGAATGCCGGAAGCACGATGCCCCTGTCTCCCAACAGCTGCAAAGTGTATACCTCCAATCACCACTGATCTTGCTTCCTTTCTGCGCCTTATTAAACACAGCAATCGGCAGTCTGCATGTTGTGCTAATGCACAGCAAAATTGAACATTAACTCAGGGGGCGTATGGTGGTGATGATCGCTAAGAGCGCGACAAAGGATCCGAGCAGCAACAGCACAATGGCGGTCCAGAACAGTATGCTCCACCACAAGCTGAATGCCTCTGTCGCGTGCACATGCTGCTGGCCATGCGGGGTGTGTGCCCCGCTGTCGCCGGCTTCTGCCGCCGCCTCCCCTCCAGGCAGCAGCGGCTCTCGCAGCGGCTGCTGACGCCGGGAGGCACGGTGCTTGGTGAGCGAGTATTGCACGAGCAGGGCACCGGGCATGAGGAAGATCAGCATGGCACCACAGGTGCCGCCCACCAGCTTCAAGATGACACCTGCATGGGGTGAGGCAGGAGATAACAACGTTCGGGTGTGTGTGTGCACACAAACCAGCAGCGCTACCAACCCTGTCGCAATCACTTCTGGCGCGAGGCGCACGAACGCAGGAAGAGCGCACCGAGGTCGCTGCAAACGAGGGCCAGGGCCAGGGTGGTGCCGAAAAAGGCGAGGGGCTCCAGCGCATAGAAGGCGCGGCCGCCCACGGTGCGGTCTGTGGTCTGGAAGATCAGGTCACGCACTGCGCCCCTTGCTGGGTGGTGGTTAACGGGGTAGGCGCAGATCTGGATCAGGCCAATGCAGGCGCGGGCGGCCTACAGTAAAACAAGGGAAAAGCAATTACAACTGTTTGGACGAGCAGATACAGATGGCATGACTCCCTTCTGCCCTTACCTGCATCAGCCAATCGTCCTGCCTAAAATTCAGGGTGATGTTGGATCTAGCTGTGTCGGGGAACGCTAGGTAGCCAGCCAGCGCCACGCAGCTGTAAAACACGCCAACGATGCTAACTCCTGCCATCACCACGCGGATCATGCCCCTGAGCTTCTCGCTTTTCTGCTGGCGTTGCTGCTTGCCATCCTCACCGGCCGCAGCAGTTGGCGAGGAGGGGGTGGTGGACGTGAGGCGGAAGAACAGTGAAGGGTGCTCTTCAAGCTCGTCCCATATGCTGACGATGTTGGTGTGGCACTGCAAGGCAAGAAGGCAATGTCAGTATGCCTCCAGTCAGCAGGCAGCAGGGGAGCATGGCGTGGTGTGGGGCAAGTGCAGCCAGAGAATGCAGCCGGCAAGCGCAGCCACGTGGCAGGTGGCAGTGCGCACGTGGAAGGCAAATACAATGAGGGGCAGCGCGTTCAGGAACTGGATGGAAGGGTTGAAGGCCTTGACGGGTGCCCAGGAGTAGTCTGGGCTGACCACAATCTGGGTGGAGCGGAAAACGATGATCCCAACCACTGACATCAGCCCATACACGCACAAAGAACTCACGGCTGCAGCAGGGTGGCGCAACCGCCGCCATCATGGGCATGGTGTGGTGATAACGTCACTGCTGCTGACTCCCCGACTTGCCTTTGAGCGCGGCCAGCCTGGTGGGGAAGCACAGCGGCAGGATGCAGGTGCAGCCAATGCCAGTGATGACGGCGGCGCGACGGGTCCACCAGGCAGCGCCAAAGGCTGCCAGCAGCAGCGGCTGGAAGCTGTCGCCTGCACGAGGGCAGCAGCAGCGGCGGGCGGCATGCAACAAGCTCAGAATTACTGTACAGCCCGCCCCACCAGATAGACCTCACTGGGTGACTAGCCATACCCGCACCTACAATGACCAAATCTGCAGGCATGGGGGGGAGGGCAGGCAGGGCAGAGGAGGTGGCGAGTGAAGAGTGGGCCGACAGCCAGTGACAGATAGCAGCAACACGCGGCAAGGCAGCCAACCGCCCAATCACACCCTGCCTCCACAACTCACATGCGATGCAGCTGCCAAACGGGTAGAGAAACATCACAAAGCACATGGTCAGACTGGCGGCAGGGCCCAGCATCTTGCCGACCTGCATCGCTGGCAACAGTTTGGTCGGTTGGCTGGTCGCAAGCGCGAAGTGGCTATTCTGCAACCCACCAGCGCGCTGTACGTCTTGCACTTGGTTTGCTCTGCAAAACGGGCTAGCACATACATGGTGAAGGCCTCGATGGCTGCAAGCAGGGGGAGGGGGGTGCAGAGCCTGCATGAGCTTGCAAGGGAGCACCCAACGCTGGGGCTACGATGCCGCTCCCAACCACTCGCCTGCGATGGCCACAGTGCAGGCCAGGCCTGCCGCCCAGCCAGTCTGTCGAAAGGCATACGGAAAGGACAGCACTCCGGCGCCCACAGTGCTGTTGATGAGAGCCAGCACCGAGCCTCGGGCGGTGTTGGCGGGCGGCTCGTGCACCAGCACGGTGGCGGGCAGCGGAGCCGCCATGGCGTTGTTGCGGGCGGCGGGCGGCCGCACCCGTGCTGGATGCTGTCTACGAATCCCTGGCGATCACAACAAGCTCTAAATGAAAGCGAGAGTGGGCAGTGAAGACAGGGTTGGTGGCAATGAGGCGAGATGCCCCCCCCCCTAGATGCGGAGGCAGATTGTGTCGATGGCAATGGCACCAGAGATTAAAGTATGCCCTTCTAGGCCCTGCTTGAGGCCTGCTTGGCGTGCGTGCAATGCCATGTCAGCGCTGGATTTCTTCCTGCCAAGGGCCTCTCTGGGCTTGATCGCACTCTATTGGAGTGCACCAGGGTGCGAGGGGCCAGAATGGCGGCTGTTCCAGCTAGTATAGCCAAGCTGCCTCTCAGCGAACTGCAGAAGCTCACTGTCGAGTGCCTGAAGAAGCTCAAGGTGCGCGTTATTTGCGCATAACGAATGAGGTTGTTTGGCACAGGATGAGGGGGGTCGCTCAGGCAGCAGTTGCACAGTGTTCGTCCTCCCGCCTTGCCTAGTACCCGCCACGCTTGGCGGGCGCTCCCTCTTTGTTCATCCAGTTGTTGCACCTGGGGCCGCCGCCCCAGCCAGCCAGCCGCTAGCCCTCCAGCAGTGGCGCCCCCAGACCGCCGCCGCCCAATCTGCCGCCTGAACCCAACCCATCCTCTGGGAACGCCAACCAATGCAATCGCTCCATCCTGCTCCCTACTGCCCACCTGCAGGTCCGCGACAAGAAGATCGAAGAGCTCACGGCGGCATGCGAGCAGGCCAAGCAGCAGGCGCCCGGCGGCGGCACGGCCCAGCTGGAGGCTACAGTGGCGGCGCTGCAGCAGAAGCTGCTGGCGGCAGAGGAGAGCTACAACCAGCGGCTGGCTGCGGAGACGGAGCTGCTGAATGATCAGGTGGCGGGGCTGGGGCGGCGCGCGGAGGAAGCCGAGGCGGCGGCCGCGGCCGAGCGCGACACAACCGCAGACCTCCAAGACCAGCTTGGACGGCGGGAGCACCTGGTGGCACAGCTGCAGCAGCAGCTGGAGGAGCAGCAGGTGGTCGCCGGGCAGCTGCAGGAGCAGCTGGGAGCAGCAGCCGCTGCCTCGGTGCAGGCGGGCGCCGCTGAAGAGGCGCAGGCGGCGGCCGAGGCTCTGCGCCAGCAGCTGGCCGAGGCGCAGCAGCAGGCTGAGGAGCGTGGGGCGGCGGCGCACGCCGCGACCGAGGAGGCACAGTCGCTCAAGCAGCAGGCCGCCAGCCTGCGGGAGGCCGCCAAGCAGCAGGCAGCCGCCGTGACGGCAGCAGAGGCGCGCTCTTGCGAGCTGCAGGCGCGGGTGGCAAGCCTGCAGGGCCAGCTGGAGGCAGCCACTACCAGCAGCAGCGCAGCGGCGAGCGGGCTGGAGCAGCGCGTGGCAGCCCTGCAGCAGGAACTGGAGGCGGCAGCGGCGGGCAAGGCAGCTGCTGTGCAGTCGGCCGAAGCCAAGGCGTCAGGGCTGGAGGATCAGGTGGCCCGCCTGCAGCAGGAGGCAGCCACGACGGCGGCGGCGGCGGCGGCGGGTGCCAGCAGCGCCGCAGAGGCGCAGCAGCAGGCTGCAGAGGCAGCAAGCCTCCGGCAGCAGGTGGCTGTACTGGCAGGCGAGCGTGATGGCCTGGCCAGCCAGCTGGCCGCCGCTGAAGCAGAGCGCTCTGACAAGGCGGCTGCGCTGGAGGAGCTCAGCAGCAAGTGGGTGCTTCTTTGCTGCTTCTTTGCTGCCTCTCCTGCCTGCAGTGCCTCCCACATGACCTGGAAGAAGCTGTGCCCTTCCTCCTCTTTGCACACGGCTCTCCTCAACCTTCCGCTGCCGGCACTGCGTGGTGGTTGCTACCTTGCGCTGCTCTGCAGGCTCGGAGAGCTGGAGAAGGCGCTGCAGGCTCAGCAGGAGGAGCACGAGGCTCTGGAGAAGCAGATGACGATGGAACTCACCCTGGCTGAGAAGCAGGCCCAGCAGACGCAGCAGGCGTTGGAGGAAGCGCAGCAGGCGCACGCGGCGGCGCTGGCAGAGGCTCGCGAGGCTGCCGCCGCTGCGGCCGCGGCTGGCGGGGAGCCTGCTGCGGCCGTGCCGGACGGGGCCGTGGCGGGGCTGGAGGCTAGGGTGCGTGAGTTGCAGGCCGAGAATGCGCAGCTGGTGGAGACCGAGCGCCAGACGGCGGCGGAGCTGAGCCGGCGCCTGAACGACATTGCCGCCAAGGGCCAGCAGGCCGCCGACACGCAGGTGGAACGGGATCTGCTGTCCACCGCAGTGGCCACAGTGCAGGCATGTTGTGCACATCCCTACTGCCCGGCTGGTGGCTGCCTTGTGCGTGTATGCCCTTTTTCTGCTGCTTCTCGCAACTGCAGTGCCCCGAACTGCAGCCTGGGCTAACCGCGTCCAAGCTGCCTGCTTGCTGCTCCTGCAGGCGCGTGTGTCGGAGCTTGAGGAGGCCTTGGGAGGGCGGGATGAGGAGATCTCTGCTCTGGAGGCCGAGCTTGCGGCTTTGAAGAGCAGCGGCGGCGGCGGCAGCAAGAAGGATGAGGAAGCGGAGGAGCAGGGCAGCGAGGGGCTGGCTGACAGCCAGCAGCAGCAGCTGGCAGAGCTGCAAGCCCGCCTGGCACAGGCGGAGGAGGCGTTGGCTGCTGCCGAGGCAAAGGCTGCGGCGTCTGCAGCAGATGGCGCAGCGGCAGCCGTCTCTGCTGCTGAAGTCTCAGAGCTGCAGGCTGCCCTGGCCGTCGCCCAAGAGGCAGCCGCTGCTGTCGAGCCGCTGCGGCAGCAGCTGGAGGCAGCGCAGCGGGAGCTTGCGGAGGCAAAGCTGCAGGCCGAGGCTGCGCGGTCAGAGGCTGCTGGTATGGAGGCGCAGGTTGCCGAGCTGAAAGCGCAGGTGGAGGCCTCTGCCGGCAGCAGCAGTCAGCGGGTGGCCGAGCTAGAGAGCCGCGTGCAACAGGCCGAGCAGCAGGCCGCCGCCCTGCAGCAGCAGCTGGCGGATGCGCAGCAGCACGCCCAGCGTGCGGCGGAGCTGGAGCAGCAGGCCGCGGCGGCAGAGGCTGCGGCGGCTTCGCTGCGGGAGCAGCTGGCGGCGGCGCAGGCGGGCGGCAAGGAGTCGGCGGCGCTTCGGGAGCAGGTGGCAGAGGCGCGGTGGGAGGCGGCGCAGGCCGAGGCGCTGCACCAGCGAGTGGCCAGCCTGCAGGCTGAGCTGGCAGCGATGAAGCTTCGGTCCGAGGAGCTGGCGGCGGCGCTGGCGGCTGCAGAGCAGCAGGTGGCTGCCGCCGCCGCCGCTGCGCACGAGGCGCCCTCCCTGCAGGCCTCGGAGAGCTTCGTCTCTGAGGTGGGCACCCCACGCGGCCCGCGCCCCGACAGCGGCGGCAGCGAGCCCGGTGGCGGCGCTGACGTGGCGGCGCTGCAAGCGGAGGTTGCCCGCCTGACCAAAGAGCTGAATGAGACCAAGCGCAAGTTTGTGCTGGTGGCAAAGAAGAAGCAGCAGGAGCACGCCACCAAGTGAGCACCAGGCGGATCTGCTGGGGCAATTGCCGGGCTGCCAGGCCATCTGCCAGACCCTGCCGGCGACGTGCCTGCAGCTCTGGCTGCCTGCCCTGCCCCTTCTAAGCTCAATGCTTGCCCCTGATCTCACTGCCACCGCTGCTGCTGCTCCTTCTGTGTTCCCTCGACTGCAGGGCAAGGCAGCTTGAGGAGCGGCTGGCCGGGGTGGAGGCGGCGCGGGCGGCGCTGGAGCAGCAGCTTGCGGTGTCCAAGAGCCAGCTGGCCGACACACGCGCTCTAATGGACTCCACTCAGGTGCGGCACTTGCTGAAGCCATAGCTCCGCTTTGCGCTGTCCCATGCACTGCTCCGCTCCTTCGCCGCCCGCCACCCACCTGTGCCACACTGGGTGCCAAGCCTACCGTCGAGCTCTAGCGTTGGTGCTGGTACATATAGGGTCTGCCTCCGGCCCCACCAGGTGCACACAAGGTGTTGCCCCTGTGCAGAGCTCTGTGCACAGCCAGCTGGCGCAGTGGAAGTCGCTGGCGGATGAGAAGGAGGCCCGCCTGGTGCAGCAGGTGGGTGGGTCGGGAGGGAGTCGCCGGGGGCCGGCGGCGCTGGTAGACTGCGCAGGCTGGCCGTTTGCAAGCGGTGACACAGCCCTGGGTGCAGTGTGGAGCGGCGAGCACCCTTGGCTGCCCTCACCTGAATGCGTTGCTCTGCCATCTGAGTCGGCACCCTGCTCCTGCCCTTTCAGGCCGCCGAGGTGCACCGGCTGGAGAGCGAGCTCCGGCTGCAGCACACCAAGCACGACGCCGCGCTGGCGGACCTGAAGATGCGGCACCAGCAGGAGCGGGAGGCACTGCAGGCGCAGCTGGAGAGCAAGGAGCGGGAGGTGGAGGCGGCGCAGGAGGGTGCAGAGGCGGCGCAGCGGGCGGTGGAGGAGCGGGACCGCGAGCTGGCGGGAAAGATGGATGCCTCAGCCGACAAGGTGGGCTGGCACGGCAGGCAGCCTTTTGGGGGTGGGAGGAGGGATGGGAGTGTGGCATGCATGTTTGTGGATGGGCAGTGTTGGGTTGGTTGGGTAGGAAGAGTTGAAGTGAGCAGGAGAGCGGGTTCTACAGGAGATGTGTGGCGCGCAGGCGTCCCAGGTGGCCAAGGATTTGGAGGCCGCGCGGGCCGAGGTGGCCCAGATCCGGCAGCAGCAGGAGGCGGAGCGTGGGCGGGTGAAGAAGGCGATCGCCGAGATGAAGCGCAAGATTGATGGGTGGGTTTGGTGGGAGGGAGGGAGGTGTGGTGCAAGAGGATGGGAGCCACCGCCCGAGCCGCTCCCTGCATGGGATGGTGGGGGGTTGGTTAGTGGCAGATGCCAATGCCCTGCTGCCTGCCCCTTTGCCCATTGCTCCCCGCAGGTTGCAGAAGGAGAAGCAGCAGGCGGAGCTGGCGGCGGCCGAGAGCCGCGGCAAGGCGGCGGCAGAGGTGGAGGCGCTTCACCAGGAGGCGGCTGCCGCAGAGCAGCGGGTGCAGGCGGCCAAGGTGAGCCCTCGGCCGGGAGAGGGGCCGGGGCCACGCGCCTTTTAGGCCCAACTTTAACACTGCGCCTGTCAGCTCAATCACACTCCATCCCAACTTCCTCCCTCCCACCCTCCGCCTTCCCTTGTCACCCAACCCTGCATCACCACCAACCGACACCTCACCCCGCCGCAGGAGGACTGCCGGCGGGTGGAGAATGAACTGCGTGACTACAAGGCGCGGGCACATGCCCTGCTCAAGTCCAAAGAGATGGAGCTCAAGGCGGCGAGGGATATCGTCAGGTGGGGAGTGGGTGCGGTGGGCGTGTGCATGGTGATGTGTGGTAACAGTTCGGGATGGTCCGAGCCGGTGTGGAGGTGTTTTGGAGGGTCAGCGCGTGGCGCGTGGGGTGGGTGGGTGGGTATCACGGAATGTGGATGTGTGTGGATGGAGGGGTTGGCGAGCATGGATTTGTCCGCTGAGGATGCGCCATGTTGCCGTTTCCTGCCATATGCTGCAGGGAGGAGCTGCAGCATGCACAGACCGAGGCCGAGGCGCGCGCCGCGGCCGCAGAGCAGCAGCAGCGCACGGCGGCCAAGCAGCTGGCAGAGGCGCAGGCCAGCATGGCGGCGCAGGCGGCGGCCATGACCGGAAAGTATGAGCCGCAGCTGGCGGAGCTGCGCCAGGTGGCTGACCAGGCGACGGAAGGGGCTGAAGCCGCCAAGCGGTGGGTGGCAGTCAACGGTTGGGTAGTGGGTGGGGCGTGGGACAGTGGAGTGTCTGTGGCCAGGGGGCTATGGGTGCAGGCTTGTATGGATTCCCGCAAGCTTTGCTGCTGCCAGGTGGCGGGCGACGCCAGAGGGAGCATCCCTTCCTCTCGACCCCTCTCTCATCACGCCCACCTACCCTCCACCCTCCCACCCTCTCACCCACGCACTTTGTCTTCCTGCTGCTCTTTGGCTCGCAGGGCGTACGAGCAGCTGAAGCTGCGGTACGAGTCGCTGGAGCTTCGCGCGCAGCAGGCGCAGCAGCAGCTGGCGGCGGCCACGGCCCGCGCCGGCGAGGCCGAGGCCCTGACCCAGCGCCTGGAGCGCCTGGCCGCGGAGCACGCCGCGCTGCGCGCCAGCGCCGAGGCCGCCAGCGGCAGCCGCGACGGCGAGCTGGCTGCGCTGCGGGCCACCGCCGCCAGCCTGCGCGATGAGCTGGCAGACCTGCGGTCTGTGAACGACGTGCTGCGTGAGCAGCTGGCTCGCCCGGGGCCCAGCTCCTCCAGCCTCGCGCCCCAGCCCAGCGCCGACGGCCTGGAGCGCTCTGCGTCGGGCGCCTCGGCCGGCAGCATGCAGCTGGCAGGCAGGCAGCGCACCGCCAGCGAGGCGCTGGGGGACATGGCGCCGCTGTCGCCCGATGCAGGTGCGCCTCGCGCTGCTGCAGCGGGGCGGGCTAGCCAGACCGGGCAGCAGTGTCTTGTGCGTCACGTGCGCAGGTTACAATGCTCCTGCTCCTGCTGCTGCTGCTGCTGCTGCTGCTGCTGCTGCTGCTGCTTGCTTGCCGATCATCGACTGAACACCGCTGTGCCTCCCCTGGGTTGCCCCCCTCCCCGTTCCTCCAACCCTGCAGCCAGCGCGCAGCTGTCTGCGCTGGCGCAGAAGGAGCGGGAGCTGGGCGCGGCGCGGCAGCGTGCCGCGGTGCTGGAGGCGGAGGTGGCCGACCTGGAGCGGGAGTGCGCTCTGCGGCAGACGCAGGAGGCAGCGCTGAAGGAGGCTGTGCGGGAGCTGGAGCGGGAGATGGAGCGGCAGCGCCTGCCCGGAAAGCAGGGTGAGCTGCGGCCTGCAACGGGTGCTTACAGTCGAAGGAATCCAAGAATCAGCTGGGCCCCCCGGTGGGAAGGGAGGGAAGCCAAGGTCAGCATTTGTTTGAAAGCTTCCCTGTCCTCAACCCGTATTGTTTTTTGGTGCCCCTCTCCCGCTCACCTGCCTCCTGCAGTGGATATGGAGTACTTCAAAAACGTGAGTGGCTGGCATTCTGCTTGGTTGTGCTGGTCTGATGGGGCTGTTGGCTGTGGAGCCGCTCCTGCCTGCTGTCGATGCTGCATCGGCCCACTTGCTGAGGTACCGGGTGCCTGCCCTCACCATTCAACGTTTTCTTTCTTTCTGTCTTCCACCTGCAGGTAATGCTGAAGCTGTACGAGACGGGAGAGGCGGAGTCTCTTCTGCCTGTGGTGGCCCAGGTGCTGCAGTTCAGCCCGGCGGAGTTGACGCGCTGCCGAGACGCGCTGCATACGCGCACCGAGCAGCTGGCGGCCGCCGCCGCAGATGGCGATGCTGGAGACGTGGTGGGCTACCTGGGAGGCTGGAGCAGCTGGATGGGCGGCGGCAAGTAGTCGGGCCGACCAGCCGTGAGAGATGGCACGGTGGCGAGGCTGTGAGCTGGTGTAGCCAGGGTGGCGGCGGGAAGCCCGCAGCTGACATGCCCCACACGAACTGCAACGTTATGAGATCAAACTCCTCTCTTCCTCCAAAATGTCACATGATTTAGTTATCTCAGCCCGGAGCTGCACACATGAAACACCCAGCGAGTAATCAGGTTTCCAAGGGCTGGCCGGCGCTTGCGCCCTTGCACCCGCCAGCATGGCACGCACATCGTGCAAACCCAACGAAACCCAACAGCATGGGTGTGTTCTAACGTACCCGTGATGTCGGCATCCACTCAGCCGCCCCTGCACGCCACCCTGGGCAGGCAGGTTGAGGGCGGCGAGCGACGCTGGCCCCTGAGTCATTGCCTGCTCAGCTGGGCAAGCACCAAGGTGGGAGTGCAGCGGGCCCTGCCGTCTGGAGCAGCCCAAAGGCAGGGGGGGGTCTGTCGCTTGTGTGCCGCTTGAAGCGCTCTAAGGTTCACCTGCACGTCCCTCACTTCCAGGGCTGCACTCACTCTCTCAAGCTGCGCCACTCGTTCAGAGTTGGCGCCTGCTCCCGCCTGGAGCTGGGTGTCGACTTGGCGATGCCAGCAGCGCGCGCCAGCCAGCAGCAGGCACCAGCCTCTCCAAAGCCCTTTGCCTGCCTCGCCTACCAGGTGTGCTGCAAGGGATGGCCTGCAATAGTGAGTGGTGCCATGGCTCTGCCCCACCTCTATCCTTGCCATCATGGTTCTGCAGCTAGACCCCAAGGAGAGAGGCAAGGGCCGCCTGATAGTCAACCCCAAGGGCGTCGCTTTCGGCAGGCAGTACCGGCTGGGACGCCAGGGGGCGTGGTGGGAGGTGCCTCTCGATGTCAAGCTGGGAGTCAGCTACACTGGTGGGTGTTTGGTGTTGCATAGCAACACCATACCGGCTCGGCACAGGGTGGTGCCTGGCCGTCTTCTGGCGGGAGCCCGCCCTTCGTTGAGGCAGGGCCACCCAGTCAATCTCGAAAACCTTGCATGATGGATGGGCTAGGAGGCTTGGAGGCTGCCGCTTGACGTGTGCTTGTGGTGGGGCGCAGACAAGCTTCACATGGGGCTGGAGATTGGCAACCTGCTGCTGGCACTGGCGCTGGCGGGCGCGATGCTCGCTGTGTTCGGCCGGCCCATCTGCCTCCACCACCGCGAGGCAAGCTGGCAGCACCTGGTTGTGATCGGAACTGACGGGCAGAGCAGGAAGTGGCCGGCATAGATGCTGTTTGCAGCGTCTCGGCTGTTGGGCCATCTGGCCCCGGCCCAACGAGACCACACACCTGCCCCTACCCCTGCCGCAGGTGGGCGGCGTGGCGGTGCACTTCCCCCTGAGAGTGGGCGGCCATGACGCCTGGCTGCAGGAGCGGGTGGGTGGGCTGCGGAACAGGTGCAGGGCACTCAAACGAAGCGGTGCATGGCATGGCAGTGGCCGGGTATGAACATGTAGGTGCCCTCCCTCCTAGCCGGTATGCGCAGGTGGAGGTTGAGGCCAGCTTGAGGCGCAGAGGGGGAGGCTTGCAGCTGGCTGTCCACCAGCTCAACGGCGTGCTGCGCCTGCAGCAGGACTAGCTTGTCCAAGCTTGCGCTTTGCTGGTTGGCGCTGCGCTCCGCAACGCAACGCAACGGCAGGCGTAAAAAACAGTGAAGCGGCAGGGATTCTTCGTTTTGGTGTTGATCTCATTAGCAGCTTTGCTTGATTAGTGCATTGTGCAGGGATGGATTGGGGTGGAAGTCTGCTGCCTAGCTGTCTCACCCTCCACGTGGGCAACCCATCCCGACACCTCCATCGCGTCTTTGTCACAAACCAAACGCGCCACACCGTTCAAGTAACTAACGACAGGATGGCCGCTGCCGCGCCGGTGCACACCACCGCGATGCCTCGCGACCGAAAGTCCAGGGACTGGCTGACATCCTGGGTTTCGACAAAGGTTCGTGATTGCGATCGACGGTCATCTAGCGCCGGCCGGACGGGCTTGGGGGTGGGCGACCCCGCCTGCCGCCACCCACCCGCCCGCCACCGCCGCCGCCGCCGCGGCCGTGCAGGACTGCGCGCACGCGCTCAAGCTGCGGCACTCTGTCAAGATTGACCCGCGCACTCGCCTGGAGCTGGGCCTGGATCTTGACCTGGTGGACAGCCACGGGCTGCGCCAGACGCTGCAGAACTCAGCGCCCTGGGCGGCCATGCTGCACCAGGTGGGTGGCAAGCAGGGGCTGGGCTGATAGGAGGTCGCGGTGGTTGGACTACGCCTGGCGCCGGCTTGGCTCAGAAAAAGGCCAGGCGTCCTCCCCGCCCTCCACTCCCTGTTCTGTAGTTTGATGAGGGCGACGCTGGCAAGGGTGCGATCGAGCTGAATCCCCTCTTCCTCAGCTACAACAAGAAGTACCAGATTGGCAAGGAGGGGGAGTGGTGGGGGGTGCCGCTGGACACCAAGCTGGGGGTCACATTCACAGGTGGGTGGCAGAGCCTGCTGCAGGGTGGGCATGGTGCTTTGCTTGCCCTTTCTGGAAAGTTCAGCTCGGCCTCTGGGCTGGTGGCTGCCACGTTGCAAGAAGATTCATTTCTGCAGCAGGCAGGTGGCTGGTCTTGAGCAGCTATGGAGCGTCGCCCATGCAGGCAAGCCACACGTTGAGGTGGGCATTGGCAACCTGCCGCTGGCCCTCACCGTGGCTACCCTCCTGCTTGCCACGGGCAAGACCGTCAGCCTGAAGCGCAAGGAGGTGGGTCAGGCTGTCTCGCAGGAGCCTGTTTCATCACCAGGCCAGCTGGCTGCGCTGCACTCCAAGCGTCGCACACGCTCACCACCTCTGCTGCCGACGGCCCCATCATGTGCTGCTGCCGCCGCAGGTGGGCAGCCTGGCGGTGCACTTCCCACTGACCGCACACGGCGTCAAGTACGATCACTCCCTCCAGGAGCGGGTGGGTGGCGGGTATACATGCCCTCCGTTGCTGCATGCTGCATTGCTTCTTGAGGGCGTCGGCGCGGCCACACGGCCACTTCGCTAGGCCGGTGCTGCTGGTTTTGCTGCCTCGGCCTTGGCACTACCTGCTACCTCACGGGCTGCCTGGCGGCCCGCTTGCTGGAGTGCAGCTGGAGGTTGACGCCACGCTGCGGGCGGAAGGGCGGGGCCTGCGCCTCGACTTCCAGCAGCTCAGCGGCGTGCTGCGGCTGCGCCAGGACTGAGGCCAGGACTGCACAACGCACTGCGCACCGCACTGATGACCCATTGCCCACTGTCTGAAATTGCACCGTTTAGCAGGGTTTCCAATGTTTTGTCACAGGTTTACTTTACACGCGTACGTTTTCTCGTTGCGAGGGAACCACATGCATCAATTTTGGTTGCGGAGCGACCATGGATCACTTGTAAGAATCCACCTATTGTTGCGCAGCCACGCCGGCCGGCTGCTCCTGCTGCTGTCCCACCTGCACCGCTGCCGCCTGTTGCGCCTGCTGTGCATCTGCTGCTTGCTGCTGCTGCTGAGCCGCAGCGGCCTGGGCCCCCTGCTGCTGCTGGGTAGCAGCAGCTGCCGCCTGGTCCATTGGTTGGGCGCCCTCCCCAGCTGCTGCCTGGCCTGCCTGAGTTGCGGTTGCCGCCACTGCCTGTTGCGCTGCTGCAGCAGCATTGCCAGCTGCGGCTGCCCCGCCCGCCCCGCCAGCCGCTGCAGCCCCTGGCGGCAGCGGCTGGCAAGGGCACAGCCGCCGCACGCTGCCGTTGGCATGGCTGCAGTTGAAGGATGGGAGCAGCTGGGCCGCCAACGGCGGCAAGAAGGCGCAGAACGCCGGCTGCTGGTGCTTAGGGGCACTCCCCTCCACATAGCCAGGGTACTCCGTTTGGTCGGCAGCGCAGCTCCCACAGCCTGCGGCAAGGGCCAGGCGGCCAGGCGGAGTCTGGGGCTAGCAAAACAAGGCAAAATACCAGCCGCTTTCTTTCTTCTCCGACGGCACACCATCCTGTACCCAGCCCACCTGCTTCACACATGAACTTCGCGCGCAGGCTGTTGCAGTCGTTGATGCTGAGGAACCACTCCGCCCGGCACGTCATCTGCTTGGCAGCGCACGCCACGTCGCAGCTCTGGCCCGCGGCCCCCGCCACCAACGAGGCCTCCTTGGGCAGCGCCGGCGCCGGCGGCACCTCCACATGCGGCCGGCCCAGCTGCGAGGCGGGACGGTGGAGGCAGAGTGGATGCGGCAGGTTCGGGGCACACCTTGTCGCTGCCAGTACCCCAAATATACTGATTGCTCCCTTCCCTGCATTCACAGCTGCCCGCTGCACCAACAGCCACAAACCCCACCTTGGAGAAGCAGAACCTGCGGTCCAGGATGAAAGCATTCTCGTGCTGCGTGCTGCGCGCCGTGGTGCGGCACACCGCTTGGCAGTACTCAAATGGGGTCGACCAGTGCCCCGTCTCGGGCCTGCAGTGCGCCGAGCAGGGGGCAGCGCCATGTACAGGTGGGCAAGCAGGGTCCAGCAACATTGGCACAGCCGGGCGGCAACAAACAGGCTTGACCGCGTGCCAGCATCACCACCAACAGCTAACAGCCTGCAATTTGTCAAATCAGCCAGCTGGGCCACGCCGCAGCATACAGCAACAGCCAGATGGGCTCACTTGTTGCGGCCGCGGAAAATGCTCTGCATCTTCTCCCCAGGCTTGTTTTCGGGCCTGAGGCAGCACGAAACGCAGTGCTCGTACCGCGAGCAGCACTTGTCCTTGGCCTCGCAGCTGCAAGCAGCAGAGGCGCACCGCCAGGGAAGGAGCAAAGGACGTGTGAGCACTTGTGCAGGCAGGTGGAGATTCATGGTGCATCATCGTGCCGACAGCTTGGTGCAATCACAGGCCTCCAACAGCCGCACCTGGTGCACGAGTGTAGCTCGCCGCCAGTGCAGCAGCCTGTGGCATAATTCAGGCTGTCCCGGGAGCACACCATGCCCTGGTCATCAGCGATGTACCATCTGCAGGCGGGGGCAAAGGGCGGGGCTCAGGGTATGCTTTGGGGGAGCATGAGCTGCTGATTGTTCAACCGGAACGGAGGCGGCGGCAGGTGACGACAGCGAGTGGGCGGGGGTGGCAAGTGGGGCCCCGCAGCCTCGGGAGAGCACACCTGCCCGACCGAGTGTTGTCGCAGCTGGGCGGGGCCTGCTGGAGCCGTCTGCACGCACGGTCAGAGAAGGGGCCAGTGAAAACGAGCCTCTTCCCGCTGGCAGGGGGCGGCGCTGCAGCAGGCATTGGAACTCACCGTGCAAGCTGATCGTCGTCAGCCTGCGCGCTGCCCAGCACCGCCAGCAGCAGCAGGGCGATTGAAGTTGGCCAAACGAGTCTCATCGCCGCTGCTGCTCCAATGTTTGGGACCTTAAGGCTCCACTCGGCGATGAACTGCGGCCGATCGACGGCAATTCAACCGTTCAACAACTGTACCGCCACCGCCCCGCCGCCGCCTCTTTCTGCCGCGCTTACAAGAGGCCTCTAGAATAAGTCAGGCACTGCATGCAACTAGCCAGCAACTCCTCCCTTCCCCATGGAGAGTGCGGCGTCTACAGCGGCGCAGGGAGCTGCACGCTCCTCAGCACCCTGTCGCGGCTCGCCTGCCCCCGCAGCAACGCAATCTGCTTGCGCAGGCTCTCAACTGCGTCCTGAAGGTCTGCCTTTTCAGAAAGCGCACGGCCCAGCTGTCCCTCACTCAGATCCAGCTGCTGTCGCAGGCGCGTCGCCTCGGCCGCCGCCTGTGCTGCAGCTAGGCTCTGCGCCTCGAGCTGCCGCTCCCGTGCAGCAAGCTGCTGCCGCAGTTCGGCAGACGCCTTCATGCCGGCCTCAGCCTGGAGCAAAGGGTAGGGCATTACGATGCACAAATGAGACGCAACTGGGGATGCCAAGCCAGCAAGATGCACGCAAACTGTTGAGCAGAGTACGTGCGCCGAAGCTTGCAGCACACCTGCTTGCGGCAGAGCTCAGCCAGCCTGTCCCGCCGCTCCGCCCCATGCATCCGCTTCAGCAGAACCGCGCGCTCCTGCTGCAGCTTGCTGATCTGCAGCCCGCGGGAGGAGTGGCAGTAGCAGCAGCAGCAGCCGTTGGCACGGGGAACATCGGTGGTGGGAAGCAAGGAGCTTGCCTGTCTGCCGGCTTGAATGTGGAGCATGTTGAGGGCAACCGGCTGGGCAGCACACCTGAGCCTGGGCTTGCACCGACTTGCGGTGGTGTTCCTGACAGATGGCTGCCACCTCCTCTGGCAACTGCTGCGCCGCATCTGCAGGACATTCAGGTGGAGCACAACAAGCAGTGAACAAGGGATGCTCGACACGCAGCCCATACCAGTCACCACAAGGCCAACCCAACACCCCAGACCAGGCCCGCCGCCACAGCACCCGCACCCGACAGGCGCTCGAGGTCAGCTTCTGCCAGCAGCCGTGCCAGCTGCTCGCTCTCCTCTTCCAAGCGCTGGCACTGGGCCTGTAGGCGCTGCACCTCCTCCTCGTACCGCCTGAACAGCGTCGGCAACGGCGATTGCTCTTCCCAGGCCCGGCACCTGCGGCACACGGCGGGTGCAGCGGCAGTGAAGTGATCGGTGGTTGGTATGGCACAAGCGCAGTGGGTCGGCTCTGGCAGTTTTCGTTATCGCAGAGCAACGTGATGATTCTAAATCCAGAACGATACTTGCAGAACAAAGCAGCTTGCAGCATACCTGGCAGCCGCCACCAGCAGCTGGCGGTGCTGGGTGTGCAACTGTGCCTCCAGGCCCAGCCGCTGCTCGTCGGAATACTGCTGCTGAAGCTGCAGCTGCTGCCGTGTAGCCGCGTGCCGCTGGCGCTCCAGCTGCAGGGCCGCCAGCAAGGCATTGAAATCTGCAGGGTCCTCCACCCCTGGCGCCAGCGGCTGCACAGCAGCCGCCGCGGCAGCAGCTGATGCAGCTGCCACCGCCTCCTCCAGCTGCTGATGCACCTCGTGCAGCTGCCGAAGCAGTGCCGCGTTGATGCGCTGCTCGCGCTCCAACTCCTCCAGCAGTTCTGCCACGTCAGCGACCTCCGCCACAGCAGCTGGGTGGGGCTGCGCAATGGCAGAGGAAGGCGGGCCCAGGGAACCCAAAGATTTCTCGGGGCTGTCGAAGCCTCGGTTTGCTGCCTGGGGTGGTGTCCCTGTTGCTCCCGCTGGCTGTCGCTGCACAGCCGCATACGAGCCGCCGCCGATGCTGTGCACCCCGCTGCCTTCTGGCTGACGCATGGCGAAGGCAGAGGGCGGCTGAGGCGGCTGTGCACTACTGCTGCTGCTGGAAGTGCTTGTGCTTGCCCCTGGCAGCCAGTCGTACCGGCCTGCAGGGCCTGCAGCGGCTGCATCAGCCAGGTCGGCTGCCGGTGGAGACGGTTGTGGCGACCATGCCGATTGAATGTTCTCTGACTTGAAAAAGTCGGAAACCAGCTGTGAAGCAGGAGTCGCATCTGCCGCCGCTCCAGACGCTGCCACAGGGTAGTGCGCTGGCGAGTTTGCCTGGCCCCACACCGCCAGCGGCCGCTCGCCTGACTGCTGCTCCGCGGTGCTGCTGCTGCCGCTCTGCAACCTGCTGGCTGGCGCATAGTACATGGCTCCCAGGGAGGGTGCAGGAGCATCAATGTCGGCCAGGCTCGCCAGGTCTTCGCTTGCCTGCTGCGAGTCTTCTACTTCTTGGTGTCGAGATAGCCCGCCAGCGCCACGTGCTGCTGGTCCGGCCGTTGCCACCGCCGCCTGCTGCCGCAGCATCGCAAGCTCTGCCTCTAGCTGCTGGACCAGGCTGCCAGTGCCACTGCCACGGCCATCCCCACTAAAGCCCGCTTCCTCAGCCCCTCCAGACGAGGCAGCAAGTGGTGCCCTGGGGTCAGGGGCCCCTCCAAATGGCTCACACAGGATCCTGTGCTGGACCTGATCAGCACGCAACGCCTCGGCCGCTGCCTGCATCTGCAGCGCAGCCACATGCGTCGCCACGTCTTCAGCTGCCGCCACCCCCGCCGCTATCAGGGCGCTCTGTTCCTGCCTATGCCGCGCAGGGCTGCTGCTGCGGCTGCTGGTCTGCACTTGCCGGCTAGCCCGGTGGACAGTGCCCTGCAGCCGAGCACGTGCTGCCTCTGAAACGCCATGCTGGGCGCTCGAGGCGCCGCCGTCATCACCCATGGTCTGCTGGTACAGGGTCTGGAATTGCAGCCGCAGACGCTGAAGGCTGCTCCTGCCGTCAGGGCTGCCCAGGCTATCATCACTAGCCGCCTCTGGTACAGCTCCGTGCTCGGCCTCCAAGGGAACATAGGCTGCTGGCTGGTAGGACGCAGGCTGCTCGCTGCTGCTTTCATGTCGCTGCGGCTGCTGCGGTTGTGGCGGCGGCAGTGGCTGCTGCTTGGATGGCGAGCGCTGCCGCGGTGCCTTGTCTTCCTGCGGCTGTGCTGCGGCCTCCAGTGGTGCTGGCCGCTGCCCCGGCTGCTGCTGCCGCCGTTGCTTAGCCGCAATCCGCAACTTCTCCCTCCTGTCAGCCTCAGCTGCAGCCAGCGCCGCAGCCTCTGCACGCCGGTGCTGTTCGGCATGCCGCCGCTGGTCCAGCTGCTGGAGAAAGAGCTGGCAGGGCAGCCAGGCGGCCGGCGGAATCGCACAGCGTACCCCTCCCGCTGCGCTACCGCTGTGGGCAGCACCAGCGCCAGCAGAAGCAGCTGCGCCCTTGGCGCAAACAGCCTGAACGTGCCGTGCTGCAGAAAGCAAGCCCAGCAGATGCCGCTCCCCGAGGCCTCCTTCCTTGGCGCAGCCGCCGCTGCGCAGATCTGCCGCCAGGAACAGGCGTGCAGTGCCAGCGATAAGAGGAGCTGCAAGATGGTTCAGCGGCGACAGCTTGGCACCGGCCAGCAGGTGGTCTCCTGCAACCGTGGAGACGTCAACTGAGTTGAGACAAAACATACGGCGCAAATTCGCCGGGTTGCTGCCCGGCACAGTGGTGCAATGCATGCAGTTTACAGCAGCTGTCCTTGCCCTGCACGACAAGCAGCCAGCAGTGGCCAACCTTCCCGGCGCCGCTGGTGCAGGTCGGCCACCTCTTGCAGCAGCCTGATCAAATGCTGCTGTTCAGCCACGGCTCTGGCTGGCTGGAGCACGTGCAGCACAGCGGTGGGTTGTCCTTCTGCTGCAACAAGTGTCAGCTGCATCAGCAGGGCGGGCATGGGCTGGCCGTCGGCTGCTGCTGCTGTCGCTGCAGCTTCCAGCTGGCGTGAGGCAGCTGCCACCACCTGCTGGAGCTCAGTCTCTGAGGCTATACGAATGACGCAGCTTGCTGCTGCCAGCCCTGCATCGTTTCCAGCGCCCTGGCCTGCCGATTCGCGGCCCAGCCTGCTGCTCGAAAGCTGCCCAACCGTGCCCTGCTGCTGCTTTGCCGCTGGCGGTTGTGGTTGGCTACCGCTAGGGAGCTGCTGCTGCGTCCCCAGAGGGCCGCAGACCGAACCGCTGCCAAGCAGCAGCTGCCATGTAACGCCCAGCTGCATGCCGCTGGCCAGTGCCGCTTCGCCTACTGCGGCAAGCACGGTTCCCGCTGTCAGCTCGCCCGCTTCTGTGTCTTGGGCATCCGGGCCCCTGCCCAGCAGCAGCAAGGCGGCGTTGAATCCACGGCGCAACCAGGGCCACATCTCCTGCTGCAACTCTTCCATCAGGCTCTCCAGGCTGTTGCGGCAGGCGGCCAGGGCCTCTGCCGCCGCCGAGCTGCTGCCATCTGCCGCCACGGCGCCTGTCCAGCACCGCCCCACAGCCACATCCCCACCGCCTAGCGCTGCCAGCTCTGCCGCCAGCTCCAGCACCTGCGTGCAGGCAAGCGTTTTCGCTGCAACTTTGAACGGCGGCGGTGCCCTCCCCTTCCCACGCCCGCTTGAGGCGCGGCAGCAAGTGCGAGACCAGGAGCTGGATTGGGTGCGAGCTCACCTCTGCCGAGGCAACCACGCAGACGGGCAGGCGCACGGCCATCGCCGCGGCCCACCAGCTGGCCTGGCTTGTGATCCAAGGATGCAAGGAGGCTCGACGGAGGGCTCAGGCTGCTGCTGCTTTGGTGGTGCGTGACCTGTCGCCACCTGGCAAAAAATTCTTAGTCCGGCGCTGATGATCATTACCTACGTTCGCACATGGTGTTCGCAGCGAATGCATGGCTTGGTGTGCTCGGGGGGATGCTCGCTGGCATCCTCTTGTCTAGGTTTTATCCCGCTTTCGTTACCCCACAGCAACATACACCGGCGCCATGTGTCGACGTATATGAACATGGTGCGCAGATACACCGCCATGCTGCCGCCGCCATGCTGCCGCCAGCGCGAGCGGACGACCACATATCCAGCCTGCCGGCAGAAGCGACTTGCAGGGCGTGACAGACCAGTGAAGTACCATATCGACGAGCTGTACCAAAGCAACCACGGAAGATCTGGCCTGGCGCACATCACTGTGGCAGGTTGGTGCCAGTGTGCGTGTGTCGTTTGGCAAAGGCGGGCTGACTGCTGTCCCGCCACCACCCTTTGGACAACCACAAACAAGGGCTTCATTCAGGGGCGGCACACCACGGCATGCGGAAGATAGAGATGTGGCTTCAGACATTTGCCCCCGGCGTGCAAACGCCCGTGCACCGGCATGCATGCGAGGAGGTGTTTGTCATCCAGCGCGGCGCCGGCACCGCGTTTTTTCGTGCGCCAGATGGTGGTGTGCAGCAGGTGGCGTTCCAGCAAAACGACACCCTCATTATTTTGCCAGACATGGTACATCAGGTAATGATTTTGGGCACAGCATGACACGTCGATCCTGCAGTCTGGATCCAGGTGCTGGGCAGTCCTTCCCCGCACTCATTGCTGCCATCCACCTGGCATGGACCTGCTCAACCCCTCAAACCTGCGCAGATTGTAAATACTGGCCAGGAAGACCTGCAGGCGCTGGTGGTGATCGACAGCCCACCCATCCGCATTTTCACATACTCGGATTGGAGTATAGCAGATGTGCAAGCCCAGCTGCAGCAGCCGTACTATTGGGATCGCGCCTGCCCGCCCCACCAGCCGCAGCCACTGCAGCAGATGCAGCATCAGCAGCAGGCGCAGCCGGCTAACGCTGCACCAGGCGAAGAGCTGTGAGGCATGCAGCTGCGTCCTAGCACATGCTAACAGCAATTTCATTGCGTTTACCGATGCAAAAACAGCAAGAACATACTGGCGGTGTGCAGATCGTAGTGAGTCGCATACAGATGGCAATACATGGAGCATTGGTAGAAAACACGGCGTTTATGGTGAAAAACTGTACCTTTACTGGTCGTGGCATGTGATTGCCACTCACACTGTGCCCGGCAGGCCGCCACCAAACTGGTTCACAGATGCCAGGTGCGCCTGCTGGCGTCGGCTCTGCGCACGACGGCTGTAGAGCACAACCGCCGCGCCCGCCAGCGCAGCGCCGGCCACGGCGCACCCGATTGCGATGCCGGCCACAGCGCCGCTGCTGAGCCCGCTGCCGCTGCTGGCGCCACTGGCGCTGGCATCGCTGGTGCTGGCTTCGGCGGAGGCGTTCAGCGCGCGCGTGGCCGCCTGCAGCTGGCAGGCCGTCCAGCTGTCATTCTCACACGCATCGCACCACTCCTGCAGGCTGCTGGAGGCCTTGGGCGCCGCCAGCGCCCGGAACGCCTCCAGCGTGCAGGCCCCGGGGCCTGCCAGCGCCTCGGCGCCGTCGCCTGGCACGGCGCAGGGCAGCGGGATGGTGGTGTAGCTGGCGGCGGGCCCGTCCTGCATCACCAGCCGCACCGTCAGCTCCTGCGGCTGTTGCCCCGCCGACGCGTCGCCGTGCAGCTCAAACGCCATGAGAGCCGCCAGCGAGGGGATCTTCCTGCAGGGCGAGGGCAAAGCGGCAGGGGAAGGCTAAGCGGCTGATAACGAGGACAGCGAGGGGTCCAGGGCAGGACGGCTGGTGCCTTTTGGGGCCTGGGAAGGGCCCTATTTGGCCCCTGGGCAACCCGGGGGGCCCTTCAAGCGACAGGGTGTGGAACAACCACCCTCCCCACACCCACCCTCCCTTGAGCCAGGGCAGGTGGGGGGGGGGGGGGTCTTGATCCACCTCCAGCGCCCCAAGCACGCCCAGCTGGGTGTTGTAATGGCCTGACAGATGGATGAGTTTGTAGTAAATGTTGGCAACCAGGTTGGCGGAGGGGGCAGCCACCGCCTTCTCGATGTAGGCCAGAAGGTCGCCCAGCAGGGCGCCGCCCAGCAGGCTGCCAGTCAGGGAGGACCGCATCTTGCTGGTCTCCAGCCAGTAGGCCAGCTGCAGGGCGCAAGGGGCCGGCATGTTGTGGGAGAGGCAGGCGTGAGAGATATCGCCCATGCCACCTACCTGGTGTCGCCATCCCATCTCCCGCAGCCAGACACACAATGGCACAGCACAGGGGCCGAAGGGTTGCGGATTTGCGGCACGCCAGGTGCTGGCACTAGTGGCGCACCTGCTGCATCTCGGCAAAGGTGGCGTTGTCGATGGCGGGCATGGGGGTGCCCGCGTTGTAGGTGCGGTACACATTGAAGCCTGCGGTACACAGATGCCAGGGTCGGAAAGGCAGCTCAGGGGGCTGGTTCCTGAGGGCCTGCTGGCCCGAGGCGCTGCCTCGCAGCAGCGGGTCCACCCTCCCACAGCCACCCTGGCCATGCCTACCGCCTCCCTCCGTCGACAACCCTCACTAGGCCTCCCACCTCACCATCGTACACATTGAACCAGTTGGTGAGCGACGTGTTGAGGCCGGGCGCTTGCGAGGCGATGCCGTCGCGGAAGGCCTGGCTGGCCGCCTCCTTCTCCTGGAACTCTTCAGACTCATACCTGCGCGGCGGTAGAGGAATGGCCCAGAGCGGCGAGGCATGTCGGGTACAGTGTCCCCTGCACGCCCTCGCAGCACAATCCGGCGGCAGCAGGGGAGGCGGCGCCCGCTGCTGCGGCTGCGCGAGGCACGTGCCTCTTGAGCGGGCCCGGCATCAGCCCCAAGGGGAAATGTCTTACCAGCTGAGCAGGCGCTTGTCGTATGCGGGGCAGGCGGTGTAGGCGCGGGTGAGGGCGTCGCCGTCGTCCGGCTTGCTGTAGACCGGCACAACCTGCATGCCAGAGGGTGAACCAACAGGAGGTTGGGGACATGCCAGTGCCACACGCCAGCAGATGTTCCTCCCGTCCTGACCCGGGTTACCATGCACCCCAGAGTGCTCAGTCCCTCCCTTGCCATGCTGCTTGCGCCGCCTCGCCTGCTGGCCGTCTGGCAGGTAGGCGGTGTCGCTGGGCTGGTTAATGGATGGGAAGACGGCATCCAGGAAGGAGCGGGCGGTCATGACGGTGCGGTCCAGGGCGCTGGACCGGATGAGCGTATTGAAATTGTTGAAGGCGCCATCGGGGGTGCCCACCACGCCGTACTCCGGGCCTGCAGGCGGCGAGGCCCAGAGTGGGCCAAAGAGGAGGTTGAGTTGTGTCGCTTTGGGAAGAGAAGCGCAAGCAGTTTGCTGCTGCAAGTGGGTGCTGCAGCGCGCACCCAGCGTGTCGACGCTGGCATCCAGGCAGGTGACGCTGGCACCGCAGGCCGAGTCGTTCAGGTATCGGGAGCGGTAGCTCATGCCGGCATTGTAGGCCTGCCGCTGGCCCGCCGGGAGCAGGGTGGGACCGCCTGCAGCATCCGACTCCTGCAAGATACAGCGTCAGGGGGCAGCGAGCAGGCAACTCGACTGAACACTCGGCAATGTTTCCATTTTCCAGCAGCACTGGGCGGCGGCAGAGGAGCGGCGCAGCAGGGCAAGCCGGCGGCACCTTCAGGGTTGCGGATTTCGGCAGCACGTTTCTCGCGCCATGCCGCTGCACACTATATACCAACAGGACCTCCGAGGCTGCTGGAGAGGGCGCAGCCAGGGTGACGAGCAGGGCCGCCACCGCGCAAGCCCTAGCGCAGCGCATGACGCGGACGGATACAGAGTTGCACACTGATCCAATTGGCCTGGCGCTGGAGTTGAAGAGGGTCCGAGAGGCAATGCTTGGGGGCGCGCTCAGCCAACTCAGCTCGCTCAAAGGGCTCTGGCCACAGTTCCGTGCATGCGTAAACGGGATGCAATGCGCAATTTGAATTACAAGCCCCTCTCTACAGGGGCGGAGGCGTCGTGAAATGGAACCGTGGCCACGCCCGCCGTACCAGCATGGCCACCCGCCGCCGCTCGCCGCCGTGCCGCCGCAGCATGCCGCCTGCGCTGCTGCCCCCAACAACTCTACACTTGACACACATTCTTCGAGATCAGGGAGACGCTGCCCTGGTTGCTGCCAAGCCGGCGCTCCAGCAGAACAGCTCGAGTCAGCAAAGACCACCGGGCTCCCTCAAAACTGTTGGAAGATGGAGTAGCTTCGCATCATGCGCTGGGTGGTGCGCATGCGCTGCGCCACCGACCCCGGGCTGGCAAGCTCCAGCAGGTCGGACCTGCGCAGCGCAGCAGGCAGAGCCCCGTGAGCTGAACCGGTGCTGGAGCGGCATACTTTGTGATCAGGTCCATTTCCGCCAAGTGCATGAGCAGCCAACAGCCAGAACCGTGGTCAATCACACATGCCATTCTCCCGCCAGCTGTTCCCCACATCCCTCACCGCAGGTTGGGCCACTCGCTGCCGCCGATGGCCAGCAGGCCGCGGTGGCGTCGGAAGAGCTCGCGCGCGTCTTCGTATGCCTGCGGGGGAGCAGGCAGTAATGGTGGTGGGGCGGCCAGGAGCAAGCGGCAGCAGGAGCAGGCTTTTCATCAGCATTTATGCGCCGGAGCATGCCGGCCACGCCCCAAGGGCAGCAGCAGGGGCTCCGTACCACGGCGAGGCGGTACGCAAACAGCCCCTGCTGCTCCCGGGCCTCCACGGCGCCCTCGTCGGGGGGCCCTCCCGCGCCTGGCGCCGCCGCTGCCGCCTCCTCAGTTGCCGCCACATGCTCCAGCGCTCGCTCCACCTCAACCATGCTCATCCGCACAGGCAGCGCCTCACGCCGCGGGTCGGGCGGCGTGGGCGTCACCAGCCTTCGTGCCAAAACAGCAAGACAGAGACGCGCAGGCATCAGCAAAGGCTGCAAGACTCGTTCAAACCCTGCCTGCCTGCCTGCTGCCGCTGCTGCTGCTTTCATTAGACACACGGCCGGCCCCTCACACACAGCTCTCCACACGCTCTCCGGCCCAGAGCATGCCCATCTGCCTGCCCCTCTCACCTGCCGATGTACAGGAGCGACGTGCCGGCAACCAGGAAGGCGGGCACGGCGGCCACCAGGGAGATGGAGAGCTCGTTTGCCTTCAGGATCTGGTCCATCTCCAGCATGGCGCTGGCGGTGTCCACCTTGAGCTTCTGAACCTGCAAAGAGGGCGCCAGTAGGGCACCCAGGCGCAGGTTACACCGAGCTGGTAGGTGGCTCGGCGGTTAGGTGGGGGTTTGTGTGTCTGTAGGGCAAGTCAGGCGAGTGTACGGCACCCAGGCTGGGGGGGACTAAAGGCCACACTGCCGCCAGTGCAGGGCTGACAGAATCGCAAGGGGCTGGTGCAGCTGGCCAGCCAGGCTGGAGCGCCCAGGCCGGCCAGCGCACACTGCTTGCCGCCCCAGCGGCACGCACGGAGGCCGAGCAGCCCAGCGGGCAGCAGCAGCGCACCTGGATGAGCAGCGCGCGCACGAGCTCGCCGCCCACTAGGTTGCGCAGCGGGCGCTGCATCTCCCGCTCGTAGGTGCGCATCACCAGGTCCAGGCCTTGCAGCATCCTAGCCTCCTCGCCGTCGCCGCCCAGCGCCGCCGCCGTCGCCGCCGCCTCGATCGCCGCCTCGATTGCCGGTGCCTCGCCCCGCTTGCGCACATAGTCGCGCTGCAGGCCGCGGCAGGCGGGCGGGCAGGCAGCATGCAGGCAAGTACACGCGGCGGGGATCAAGGCTGGGCCCTCGAGGTCAAAGGGGTCGAGTTCCAGGTTAGACGCGCCAGGAGCAGCAAGGAGGCATGAGCCAGCAGGTGAAGCCGGCACAGAATGCGCATGCTCCACTGCTGCCCCCCTTCCGCAGCCCCTGCCCGCAGCTGCCCCACCTGAAAGTCAGCCAGCATGCGCTGCAGCGAGTCCCTCTCCGCCTCGAAATCGACGTTGCTGACCACAGTGGGGCGCCTGCTCAGCAGGAGCGGCGGCAGCGAGGCGGGTGACGGCGCAGCAGGCTGCGAAGCAGGCTGAGAATGGGCAGGCCAGCCACTTGCTGGAGTACAGCCGCAAGTCAGCAAACATACATGCACACACTCGCCACCCCACCCCATTCCACATACACCTGTACCACATGTACCACCTCAGCTGATGCAGCACACACACCGCCTGAACGTGTTGAACAGCTCATTTTTTACCCCAGCCAGCGGCGCCACCACATGCTCCCGCCACGCCCCCCGCACCGCCGCCACGCCGCGTGCCGCCCAGGCATCCAGGTCCTGGCTGCCCGCCAGGCGGCTGTGGCGGAACAGGAACCAAGAGCCGTAGCCGGCGGCCATGCAGACAGCTGAGTAGCGTATCCAGTGCTGCTGCAGCTCGCTCGGCATGCGGGCCCAGCGTGGAACCTACACCGCAGGCACGCCAGGGGCCGGCAAGGGCAAGCGGCAGCACAAACGGGCATGTCAGGAGGCAGGCAGGCAGGCAGGCAGGCAAGCAGGCAGGCGGCACCACCGGCGATGGGTGGGTGGTGGCTGCCAGGGCGACGGGATGCCCCATGGCAAACTCGGCAGCAGCGGCGCCGCACGGCCGACGCACCTGGATCAGGCGCTTGCCGCGCATGCCGCGGGCGGAGCGGTGCGCAGCCTGCAGCGCGCTGTGCACCGTGGCGTTTGCCAGCAGCACCAGGTTGAGCCCCACCACGCGGCGAGCCTGGTCCAGGGCGGCTGCCGCCGTCAGCGGCGGCGCACCGGCGGCGACAGGTGCCAGCCCAGGTCCACCCGCTGGCACGCCTGCATCTGCCGCCACGGCAGGCTGCTCCTGCCCCTGCCCCTGCCCCTGCTCCTGCTGCTGCTGCTGCTGCTGCTGCTGCTGCTGCTGCTGCACCAGCTGCAGTCGACTGAGCACTCCGCGCAGGTGGTGCATGCCCAGCACGCGCGACAGGGTGCCCTGAAGCACCTGCCAGTCCTGGGCAGGCGGCGCCGCGGGGCCCTGCTGCCCCTGCAGCGTGGCCTGCACGCTGTGGTCTAGCTCGTGGAAGGCGGCCGCCACCTGCGCCAGGCTGGCAGCCACCATGCGGTCGGCCCGGTGGAAGAGTGCCTCGCCCTCGGCGCCGCCGCCGCCAGCAGTACCCGGCCCCACGACCGCCTGCTCTCGAAGGTACAGCAGGCCCGCCGCGGCCTGCACCCGCGCCAGCGCCTCGCACAGCGCGCTGCGCAGCAGCCGGAAAATGAGCACTCGCTTCTCGACCAGGTCTGCAAGGCCAGAGGGAGGGGGGGTGGGCAGCACAGGAGGCCCGAGGGAGGGAGGGGCCGCGCCAATTCAGCTACAGAAACAGGGGCCGAAAAGGGGCCAAACAGTGGCTGCATCCAGGGTACGCCAGGGCCAAAGCACGGCTTCACAGGCGAGAGGTGGAGAGACTGGCAGTGGTTCAGACAGCTGCGCTGCGGCAGGCCAGCGGCTGCTTGCCTGCCTCGCCCAGCGTGCCTTCCACCCGTCGCGTCAGTCGCAGCAGCACCGCCAGCTGCCCCAGAAACTGCAGCGGGCCGCGCTTCAGCAGGCTGTGCCAGAAGTGGCCGCCCCGCTGCTCCTGCCGCCGCCAGAAGCGTAGGTTGGCCTCCACCTCATCCAGCTCGCTGCACCCAAAAATTCAACACAGCGCCAGCAGGTCGAGGAGGCGCGCTCTGCTAGAGGGAAGCTGAGGAGCTGGGAGCTGTTGCTCTTGGCTTTGCTAGCATCCCATCCAGCTCCTGCTGGTTGCCCGCACCTGAGCAGCAGGCTGCACGCGCACTGGCAGACTTGCAGTGCCTCCAGCCACCGGTCGGCGATCGCGTGCTCCTGCAGCGGCACAAGCGGCGGCGGCGGCGGCGGCGGCGGCGGCGGCGGCAGCCGGAAGTCAGTCGGTCCGCGGGTGGCAGTGGGGCTGTCCAGGCGACTGGGACGCAAACATTTCCTGAAGAACGTGAGTAGAAGCCGTGGGGCCCACCTCCGGAGTGGTGGCAGCGCGGGAGAGCAAAAACCATATCGGCTGTGCCTTGCTCTCGCAAAGGCCCGCCACGGGGAGGGATAAGCTCCTGCGGCGCGTTATTCCCACTAGCACCACGACGAACGAAACCGGTCTGCGGACCAGCCGCAGAGGCAGCCCTGCTATCGCCTTGACGATGGCAGCCATGGCCCATCGTGAGCGAAGCAGGGGCGTTAAATGAGCGGGTTGCCACACATGTGGCGGCGCCACCTCAGCGGCGGGCCAGGCGGCAGCAGGAAGAGCAGGGGAGAACATCCATATGCACACCTGGCAGGAATGGAAGGAACGGAGGGTATGTGCAGACACCTTGACACAGGGCGGACTGTCATACACAACCCCCGCACCCTTTTGGTTCAGCCGATGCTGCAGAGGCACACACCGTCAACTCAGAGCCCGGGCTGCAGCTCAGAGTGGCTGTGGTTCGCACCCAACATCCCCAGCAACAGCAACCTATCATGAACCAGTCGCCAATCAATGCGTGCCCCATCGGGTGCGTGGTTGGCTGGGCTGGGCTTCCGGCCCGCCGGCAGCTGCGGCGGCTGTGGTCGGGAAGCGCGGGGACCGCCTGCGGCCGCCCCAGCCACCTCTCTCGCAAGCAGGGCTTCCATCAAGGGTAGATGACTGAGTGGATGGCGCCTTTACTACGAACGTACCACACAGGTGGCGCCTCATGGGCGCCCGCCTCATGGAACACCAGCCGCCCCGCTCCCCCGTCATTTGACTCGATGCCATGAGTATACAACGTGTACGCCACCCCGGGGCTGGGTATTTAGCTCTGGGATTGGCTGCTTTGCTCTGCAGCTTCCGCGGCGTTCGTGCCGCCCAGGCTGTGGTCTCCGTAAGCACCCCAGAGCAGCTTCTGGAGGCCATGGCCTCCGCCGTCGGGCCCGGAGCAGCGGAGAACACGGTGGTGGAGCTCCAGCAATCCGTCGTCCTGACTCAAGCAGCCGCGGCCGGCTACAGCCTGCCCTTCATCATAGAAAGTAACCACACGCTGACACTGCGACCGGGTGAGCTAAAGGCAGGGCCCGGGGTGGGTGGCCGACTCGATTCCCGCCCGCCGGCTGCCGCGGCGGCCGCAACCACTGCATGGCCGGGCCCACGGCCGGCGGTTGCATGCTGGTCTGGATGCCTGCATAGTCCAGCGAGGCAGGAGGCAGCTCGCCTGCGCCATATCGTGCCCTGGGACTGCCGGCGCCCCGCGGCCGCGCCTCCAGCTGACCGGCGGCGTGCGGGGTGGAACTCCTGCTGCCGGGCTGCGCACCGACCTGTGTGCCGCATTTCTGAGTGCCCGCCCCTCCCATGCTGCAGCCGATGGGGCCATGAAGAGCCTGGACTTTGGCGAGATCCCCTCGCTGCTCTACTTCCGCCCCAACAGCGTGCTGATCATGGAAAACCTGAATGCCAGCGGTGCGTGTGCCTGCTCGTCATGCGCCACCGGCGACCGCCTGCCCCGGCTGCCTGCATGCCAGCCAGCCGCCGCGGCGATGCAGCTTTGCCCCAGCTGTCAGACTTGCTTTACAGCAGCAGCAGGGGCTAATGAACCTGCCTGTCGTGCCTGCTCCGGTGCAGGCCCCGCCGACCCGCAGCTGGGGTCGTGGCCGGTGGGGATCAACAGCACCACTGTCATCCAGTCGATGCCCTTCTGGCCCACCATTGGTGCCGATCCAGGGTTCACGGTAAGCAGCGCACCAGGGGCAGAGCATGCAGCACTGGAGGGGAGCAGAGGCATTGCCACTGCTGGCAGCATGGACCAGCGCCGCACATCGGGCCGGCCCTGCTGGAAACCCGTGCCGCACGCCTGCCTGCCTGTCACTGATCCATTAACTCTCTCCCTCCCTCCCCGGGCCCCTCGTCTGCAGCCCAGGGTGTATGACTGCAACTTTACGCTGCATGCCACAGACTTGTGCACCCCAGAGGTGTACCAGCTCCAGTTCTCCGCGCTGCAGCAGTTGGCGGAGACGTCGGGCACCGGCCAGACCGACCTGTACGCAAATGGCACGGTGGCATACTTTGACAACTGGGCTGCCCCCGTGCCCGTGATCAGCGCGGCTACCAAGGTGGCAAGTGAGTGCAGGGCGCGGCGTAGGCGAACACTGCTGCGGTGCTGCCTGCTGCGGGCCAGCCTAGCCCGTGGCCCTGCTCGGCGCCAGGGGCGCCTGCGCCTGCGTGCCGCGCATGCTGGACATCTAGCTGCCGCCCTGTGTGGTTCTGTGCTGCAGTCGGGACCGTCCTCGCTTCAGCATGGAACATGCAGCTGCACTGCACGCTGCCACAGTCGACGAGAAGCGAGGGCGCCCCGCCGCCGCAGAATGCACCCAACGGCATCGTTGGCTTTGAGGGCAGCGGCAGCAGTGGCGGCGGCGGCAGCAGCAGCAGCAGCAGCACCGAGGGCCCCGGTGCCAGCAGTGACGGCACCAGCAGCGGGAACAGCGACAGCAGCACTAGTGGTAGCAGCAGCGCAGGTGCAGCAGAAGGAG